TTGGCCCACCTGGAGGGACAACGGAGGATCTAATATTCCCAGGATACGGAGGAGGAGGGCGGTTAAAAATCGGATTTAAGTTGTCTTGCTGCCAATGCTGAAGAGGAGTTGCATGGGTAGGAGCTGCTGCCTCCTGCAAGGCTTTTTCCTGACGAACCGCGTTCTTCTTCTGCTGCTGTTGCTGTAGAATAATTTCACGTAATTTCTGGCGCTGTTTAAAAAAAAATAAATCATTGTGCTTGACACAGCAATTGACATATTTTTGAAGAGTTACACTCTGCTAGGCTAAGCCTATTGGAGTAAGGAAATTCTTCAATCACTACAGAAAAATATTATAAACTACCATAATCACCTCAGAAATTAGAAAAGTGATTAAATGGTGCAAGACGATGGTAATGCAACTTCATCTCCAGACCTCTTGAAGTGTATAGTGTGAACCCATTTTATCAGCTAACATATAAGCTACTCTCTTTTCCTTTTTCTATTCCAATAATGCAGGCCCTTCTACCACATGTAGAAGTGCATTGAGGGAGAAGGTTGACTAGAGGGCCACTGACGAAAATTCAATCAAGAGGTTTACACCAAAGCTGCAGAATTTACCCTGACTCTGTACGATAAATACTACCAATTCTTCTGCTAAATCCACCTCCCATCACTCCTTCCAAACAAAAGACTGAGCAGCTTTCCACAAGCATCCTACGTCTCAGCGCAAAAGCTGTTTGCCACACATTTATCGACAAAAATCTGGAATGCCTCAAGAAGAGCAGTGACCAATGGTAGGATTCACCTCAACATGTCAGCCAGCTGAGAAGTCAGATGCCTTTTCTGGGATCTTTGCCTATACTTCCATTTTCAGTCCCTGAACAAGTCACTGACAATCAGTTCTACATCTCATCTATTATAGGATAGAATTAATTGTCCTTTCAAGGTGTTTTTTCCCCTCACACTGTAGATAAAAGAGCTGTTACAGACCAGTCACCTGCATCTTCAGTGGCTTCAAAGATGCCCTTCGCTTCCTGTTTGGTTCTTGTGCAAAGTCCTTAAAAATTACTGATGTTTCTATATTCTATATATTGGAGGACCAAATTAACATCGTAAGTGAAGGAAGATAATTCTATGTTATACAGATATGGTTAACGGCAAGTAACTTCAAATATTAACAAGAAACAGGGGAAATTCTTCTACTTATGAAATTTTAATACCATCAGTATTAACCATTATTCTCACCTGTCTTAACTTCTCAGTGTCTGCTTGAGACATATTCATGGTATTCTGCGTATCTGTTACTCCTGTAGTGGGTGCTGGGCCAGGAACTTGTGAGACTTTGGGAAACTGTTGTCCTTGAGAACTCATCGGAGAATTTCCAGATGCATTAAAGTTGCCCTCAGATCCAGGCCGTGGCTGCTCAGCAGCATCATGGGCCAGTTGACCAGTTCCAAAAGATTCTGGCTGAGGTCTTGGAGTCATTGGTGGCTGATCATATGGGTCACGTGCTGGAGCAGCTGGACCATGGCTAAATGAATCCGTTATTGCAGGTCCTGCAGGTCTGGGAGTTTGAGAACATGGATCGGATGGCCTGACAAAAGTGCCCTGCAACCTGTTCTGTGGTGTCTGCAGGAAAGGATCTCTATTTGGTATTACTCCTGGTCTTGTCATTGCAGGTCTGTTAAAACTCTCTGGGATCCCTGGCCTTGGAGTTGCTGGTTGCTGAGAATAAGGATCATTGAGAACCGGCCTTGGTGTTCCAGGAGGTTGAGCATACGGATCAGAATGTCTCTGATTTGCTGGGGACTGAGCAAATAAATCCGCTGGCTGAGCAGGTCTCGGTGTTGGTGGCTGCTGCATATATGGATCAACTGTGGTGGGCCGAGGAGTTCCTGGTGGTTGGGCATAAGGATCAGCAACTGGCCGAGGAGTACCTGGAGGCTGGGAGTAAGGGTCCTGAGAAGCTGGCCTTGAAATGGGTCCAGATTGAGGGAAGGAATCACTCTGTTGTCGCGCTATCCGGGGTGGATGGGCAAAAGTCTCCTTTATTGCAGGATGGGGAGTAAGGGGAGGCTGGCTGTATGGGTCATTAGGCTGATTATGGGAGAAGTTATCCACTGGCCTTGGTGTCAAAGCGGGCCTTTCGTATGGATCAACAGCAACACGCCTTGGTGTAGCTGGCATTGATGCGTAAGGATCTTGTGGGGACTGAGGTGGGCGCATAGGAGTTTTAAAAGGTCCAGGGCTACCATCAACAGGAGTAGGAGTAGGAGTCAACGGTGGCCGCGCATACGCATCAGCAGAAGCTACTCTCTGTCTCTGAAACGTATCAGTTCTAGGAGCTGGCTTAGTAAATGGATCGCTGCTTCCAGCTGTTAAAGGAACCTTCCCTGACTGTTCCATAACTACGGGTGATCTTGGGACCCCCAATGGTTTGGAGAACTGCTCTGATGGCATGACAGGCCTGGGTGTGTCTGGTGGCTTTGCATAGGGATCACTGCTACCTGGAGATGAAGAACACGAATCCCTGACTGGTGAAGGCCTGCTTCCTGATGGTTCAGTTACCTGAATGGGCCGAGATATGGATGACTGTGGTGCACAAGTATCTAACGGCGCAATGGTATTTCTTCTAACAAAGTTTTGGTTAATGGGTGCTGGTCTAGGTGTTCCCACCATTTTGGCATATGGATCCAATGGAGAAGGAGGTCTTGTGTTTGTGGAACCTGGAGAAAACATCTGCTGTGATGATGTCTGAGGAGTCTGAGACTGAGACAGCGAATCGTGTACCGGGATTCGGGTTGGAGTAGGAGGTGGGGCTTGTGGTTTTAGGAACACGTCATCTGAGGATGCTGATGTAGGCGTAGCAGGTAGCTGCTGCTTTGAAAATAGATCCTTATGGAATGTCTGCTGTGCAGGAGACATACTTCCATTGCCAGTCTGTGGCGTTAAGGGGCTCTGGATCCCACTGCTAGGTGTGTCCGAGCCAGACTGGTTCAGAAGCTGTTGTGAACCAAACTGCTGCTGCTGCTGTTGCTGCTGCTGTTGCTGCTGCTCATTTTTCACTTGTTCGAGCTTCTGCGTGGCTTCTATTTTGGCTTGCTGCTTACTTTTTTGCCGCATTTGCTGTTTTAAAATCATGAGGAAAAAGGTTACACTTGAAGTCCAGGGTATACAAAATCTTTCTCAAGACTGTCTATGGCAGGGGGGTTGGAACTCGATCTTCAAGGTCCTTTCCAACCTAAACCATTCTATGATTCTGATTCTATGAGTGAATCTATAACTAAAACTTTACAACACATCAAAGATCAATAATAAATAATCATAAATTGCAAATTTTAAATGCAATGGGAGCAGAGGGTCTAGCTATTTGTAAAGTCCAGTTACCTTGACATGCACTTTGACTGCCTGGGAAGAAGCATTTCCCAGTTTGCCTAAAGAGCAGCACCGCTTTCCAACCTTATACTCTGAAGACAAAATGACATCACTGATGTGAGGCAAATAGGCTCTGAGAGACAACCAGCCCAATTTGAAGCAGTAGTTTGCAGGACAAGGTTACTGCAATACAGTGTATATAAAAACAAACTACTACATAGCCAGTCATACAGAGAAAGAATAAGCTGTTTCCCTAATAGGTAGGATTTAAGAGCCAAAGTTTTAAAACAAAGTTTTCTAACATTTACAAGCAGCTTCTCTTCTGATAGCATTTATTTTCTTCCTACGCAGAATGGCTGACTTTATACTGTTCTACAAAGAAAGATTAAAATTGATTTTATTACAACAGCTTCCAACAATGCAATAAAAAGCTGGAAGAAAAATAACAAAACACTGTAAATGCAACACAGCTTTCTGAATTTCACCTGCTCATGTTCTGATTCCCTCTGTTTTAATGGATCTTTAAAGAGGTCGGAGTCGATGCGTGAGCTAGGATCAATACTATCCTGTTGCTGCTGCCTTTTCATGGAGTCATTTGACATCTGTACTTTATTGATGCGCAAAGCAGCTCTATTATCTCTGGCTTTTTGCTGGAAAAGATAAAAAAAAAAGCAGTTAGCCTTATTTTCTTCTAAACTGCATCTGTGTTTCTCCTACAAAATCTATCACCAAATTATTTGTACAGCCTGGTTATTCACACGCATACTTGTGAAAACTAAATTACGCACTCTAAAAGGGATTCCAAACTGAAAATACTTCATCTCTATAGAAATTTTGTGTTTAACATACATGGAAAGAACTAAGGAGCTGTTAGCAGTAGAGGAGTGTCTGCTCAGGTACCGCACTGTGCCAAGAAAGCATGAATCCCACCAGTTTACATTTCAAATCACATATCGGTGTGGTCTGCAGTCTGAAGACACAAGCACAGTAGATGATGTTTGGATCAATAAAGGCCACTAATGTGAAGAACTTCAATGACAAGAAAAATACAGTCTGCTCCATTAAATAGCCTCTATAGATCTCAGTCTGTGTTAAGTTAGCAGTATAAACATAGGATATGGGCTTATGGATCAGGAAAAATTGGATGGAAGAACAGCAATTCCTCTTCAATGAGGCATTTTATAGCCATACTGACACTTTAAAGCATTTAATGGAAGTTTCAAAGTCTGTTTTACCACCAATCTAGGATGTGATTCCTTTTCTGAATCAAACCCTCACATCTTCTTTTTCACAATTTTATTTGCAGTTGTCAAGCAGGGGTTGCCTAGCAGAAAAGGCTTTAATCCTTCCCCTCCGACAATGAAACAGTGAGTGACATGAATGAGAGCACCAGTGTCACAGCAGCAGAAAAACTCATGTCATTTTCCTCTAGAAGTGATGGGATTGTGCATACTAAGGGAAGTAAAAAGCCTACAGTGAAAATTTACTAACACTCTTCTGAATTTTATTTCTAAGGTAGCCTTTACTCATCCTCACAGAGGGTAAGTCCATCAGCAGAGGTACCACAGCAGCTTCTTGAGCGCACAACACCAGGAACACTAGCAACAGCTGAATGGCAGGAGTACACAGACAGTAACTTCTGTGAGGTGCTTCTCGCTATGTAAATACTCATGTGTGCACGTGTGTGCATTTGCATGTACCCTCCTCCCAGCCATGAAGGAAATAATTTTTGTAGCTGCTTTTTCAATATCCATCAGGAGAATAGGACTGCATTTGTTAAGAACAATGAAAAAGAAAAAGAAATCAGTAACAGAAATAATTTTAAGGTGATAAATGCCTGGATAAAAATCCACCCATGCAAGTAGATAGTATCTTATGAATACTAAACAGAAGGCATCACCAAGATTAAATGTAGCATGGACAAGAAAACAGAGGTCCAAAGGTGCTGAAGTTACAGGCCTGAATCAAAAGCAGAACAATGATGATGCCTCAGTGATACAGAGAAGACAATAGAGAATTATTCTTTCAAGTGGAAAGAGGTTCAGAAAGACCAAGAACTCCACTTCCCACACTGAGTTTGGAGATTTATCCTCTGAAAGTTGTCAGAGAGATAAAGAGATTTTTTAATTTGGATAGTAGGAGATGACGTTGCTTCTGTTAAGCTCTCAGTCATCAACATACGCAGGAATCAAATTTGCTTACTAATGGGACTATATTAAAAAAGTGCAGGTGGGGGTAGGCTAGGAGACTGAAAACATAACCCTGCAAAATCCACAGAAATCTACTAAGTGAGAATGATCATCCAATTGATGTTGTGAAGAAACAAAGAAGAGAAGCAGGAGAGAAGGAAATGTGACAGGAATGTAAAGAAAAGTACATTTGCTAACAATGGCTGGGAAGGTCAAAAAGAATGAATAATATAGCTTCTGAGATTGGTATGTGGATAGGCTTCAACAAGAGGTTTCAACAAAGCATAAGGGTCACCCTTTGAATGGCAGAAATTCTACAGAATGGAATCAATTGTGTAACTCTGGACAGCTACTACAAATACTTGTGTTTACTTGACTCAGATACGAGGAAGGTTAATGCTTTTGGAGAGAAAAATGGAGTCCTTCGTGCTCCCCATAACATGGAAGATATCAAAAGAGTTTCCACCACAAAGCAATAGAAGAGAGTGAGTAGTGAAGGGGAATAGTAAGGCGTGAACACAGGAGTAGAAGAAAATGAGGAAAGTAGGGATGTTAGCAGTCATGCCTCTGGAATGGTTAGGTCAGCAGGTGAAAAACTTCAGCCACTCTAATGGGGCAAAAAAGAAAAGACCAGTGAGAGAGGAAGACAAAAGAGAGGGAAGTCACATAATGATTTATTATCCTTGTGAAGAAACTGGTGAGATTCTGTGCAGAAAGACAGAGCAAAAAAGACTTGAAGTCTGAATCAAACGTAGCAAAGAGGCAACGGGAATCAGAAATGTTCACATCTCAGTTGATGCAGGTGGTAATTGTTCTTACCACATACGGAGCCCTCTCCTGTGAGCTTGCTTTTCTCCACAGTTTAGCAATCTGCTTCACTCTTGTAGCCCAGTCTGCAATGAAAAAACGTGTTAAAACAGAAGGCTTTGATAAGTCTGGTTTACATTCTTTTAAATCAAGTTGCATAAATTGCTCCAAAATATCTAACTTTATTCTGTGAATCACTCACCTGGGAATTCTTCCTTCAGGTTAGGGAAGTTAATATTTGTATAGAGAACAGGTGCTACTGTTGCCATTTCACCCAAAGCTTCTTCTTTTTCCCACTTCAGAGTGCTTCTTTGAGCATTGGACATTGTATCGCCTTCACCTTCCAAAGGTGGAGCAGATGGTGCCCATGAGCTGTTTGGATCAGTTACCATTGGATTGAACGCTGGATTCTTATCCCTATGACAAACCAGAAAAGGGTTTTGTTTTATAGATTGCTCTCAATATTAAAAAAAAAATAATTTAGCAATGTACTTATTCTGTTTGCTATTTCAGTAGTGAACAGGCTGCAAGAATACAGAAGGTTTTGTAGTGGCTGTCAAGAACTAAGTAGTTAAATACTAATAATATCACAGTATTAATAAGAACACCACCCCCCAAGTGATAAATGCTAAGCAATATATATTTTTTATTTCCCACCCTGACTTACCTGGTATCAGCATATGGTTGCTGTGTAATGGGAGAGAAAGTGCCCAGTCCACCTCCAGCAGCCAAAGCTGTATGAGGGAGGTGAGGGTTAGGGCCAATCAGACCATTCATAAGGGGCACTCTGGGAAACGCGTTCTCTCCTGGAAAGAAGAAGTTTAAATTACTGTTTTACAGGGTGACTACTTTTAAGGTAGAGGTGGAAGTTTTCAGTGAGAAAATGATGTCTCATCTAATGAAAAACTAATTGTTTTAAAATTTTATAGTACTGACCTTACATTTTTGGAAAGGACTTTAAATCAGTTTGCACTGCTTCCCTACAAGCTTAAAGGATTCTTTTGTGCTGTATCACATCCCTGCACAGATATTTTTTTTCTTGCCTGTAAAATCAGTTTTTTTAAAAATGGATTTCCAGAACTTTTGGAGTAGCCCATGCTATGTACTGCACATTATATTGAGGTATATTCTTAAAGGCTAATGGTGTGTCATACTTTTTATACCCAGATCCAAGCAGCAAGCATGGAGAAGGTTGTTTTCAGTCCTTGCAGAATTATCATTAGCCACCCGAATTAAACATCTCCTCTTCTGAGACTCCTGAGCAGTGTACCAAAGTCAGCCTCATTATCTACTAACTCCCCAATTTGTAACCAATGAAACAGATAAGTCTAGTCAAATGAGCATCAGCATTTTCTAATTAAATGTCCAGCCTAGCAGTATGAAGGCAGAAAATTTTATTTATTTGATTACAATATTACAAATGTGGCACAGACAGATTCATTCCAGCAGATGGTATTTGCAGATGTTCCTACACAGAATTAACACTGGCCTTTGAATCCCTGTCACTTAAGTACGATTATAACTGTTGTTCCAGTATTTTCTTAAAAGCATAGAAGTAGCTCAGGAATTAGATGCATCTGTAGGATCACATTGCATCATTCTCTCATGCTTTAGGAGACTGTCTTCTGATCTATAGGTTACATACACTGTGCAGCAAGTATAGCTTGGATGAAAGTAACTCAAAATTTAAGAGAACGTGCTTTATTATAGCTACTGAATAGATAGTATACAGTAATTGTGAAGACCTGGCAAACAAACAGGATGGGGTGTCAGGCCTCTGGTTTGCACTGTAGGATCACAGGTCTTTACGTGAAGAGAGCATTAATTTTATTTTAAATTGCTGGAACTTGGTGCAAGCTTCCTCACTACAGAGGCATTTATCTCACAGAAACATGTGGATCATTATACCAAAATTGAACCAAATTATAAATTTAAAACTTTTTAATTGTGGCAGTTCCCACAGGGAGAAGTTCAACAATCTTAGAGAGCTTAAATGCTGAAGTTATCTTCAAGTACTCAAGTAACTGGGAACCAGACAATGATATCTATATTATCTTTTACTTTAAATCACCTCATTATTTGCTTTAAACTCCTTCCTAAGACTTTTTGAAGTCCTTCCTTTTTATAGAAATTCATCCAACTAGGAAACCAATCATTTTTCTTCTTATGATTAATTCACTGGTGAAATCAATTTGCATAACTACTTTTTGTAGTACCAGTGTAACAAAATGGGTACTCTTTACATGAGCTCAGGGAAAATCTACTAGAGGTGATGCCTGATGAGAAAAGAGTGCTTTTAATTATGCTCATACATGCTGCTAAAAAAACCAAATAATGCTCTACTGGTAACAACAACAAATAAAACAAATCTGCCCCTTGCCTTCAATATAAGAGCAAGAACGTGCTGTATCAACTCATGATAATTTTAGTAGTAACAAAAGAAAAAAATATTATAATCTCCCAGACACATTTCAAAATTACTTAGCCTTCTCTCTGTTATTTGGGTAGGACTAGCTAATGCGTTAAGCTGAATTCTTAAAGGAAATTAAGACTCAGTAAATCACTGTTCTACAGACTCTTTCCTTACCCTTGAGGAGGTACTCAAAAGTAATTAAAGAGTAAAGTCAGAAGAGAACATGTGCTTTATCACAGACAAATTTCAAAACTATGACAGCGTCAGCTAAAATAAAATCTCTGATATGTCAGAAAAATCTAAAATAACCATCCTTTTGTATTAGCAATATTTGTGGGCATGTTAATTGCATACCCCCTTCATAACAATTTTAGAACAGTACTTCATAAATTAATAATGGCAGATTCCACAAATTAACAATAGCAGAAAGTGTGTCCTATTTTCTCATCAGTATTTGAAAGATGCACAACTCTCCTGACCGGGCTGCTGTTTTTAAACGTAACAAAGGAACATACCTTGACTGTGCAAAGACATAAGTTGTGGTGGAGGTGGAGGCTGTGGCAAAGGAGCTGGCTGCGTGGTTGCTGGACTTAACACAGCTGTGAACAAATCTTCAACATCCTTTCCTCCTAGCTCTGCAAAAACACTGTGCATGAGTTGGCTGGCATTGTTTACCAACTATATTTTATAAAAGACAACAAAGATTAGAACAAGTACCTGGGATTTTGTACAGTTTGCCAAGAATAGCACCTGGACAAAGTAAAAACAACACAGAATGAGTAATCATCAAAAGATGCAGTAAAATTAATTCTGCAACCAAGTCCAAATAGGTACATTACAATACAGTACAGTACATTATAACAGGTAAGTAATCTGAGGAAAAAAGATAAGATTTCTACTTAAGTTTTCCAGAAGACCAAGATCAAAGACAAAAAAAATTACCATCTGTGACCATTTTGTCTAATTCTGGACTGAGGATTCCATCCAACTGTTCTTCACTCAATGGCCGTGAACTCTGGTTGGCATTCGGCTGAGGCAGAGAAGAAGGATCATCAGAGATGGGACCAATATCCAATCCAGCTGAAGGAAGAAAAAATATTAAGTTAGACATAAATAGTAACATTTATTGGTACAGAATAAAGAGCATAAAACTTTTTTTTTTTTTTTTTGCCTAAAGCTGAGCTATCAACTAAACCAAAACTATAAGATTTCAAAGGTAAGGCAAAATAAGACATTCATTAGAAACAGTAAACAAAACCATCCACTATTTACCTCCACTTTACTGTATTGTTTGAGGAACGTTAATTGAATAGAACGAAACTGGAGAAGAATGGGAAATAAGACTACTGAGTTTAGGTACAGTATGTTTTTGAGTGTTTGGTTTTCAGTATATAGTTCCACTCTAACTGTTTTTCGTATTTTAAAAAGAATCACACCAGTAGTCAGTATGGTTCATCCTCACGTACCTTAAGGTTCACACCAAATGTTCTTATAATATTACATTAAATATCTACTGAAGCACTGCTGAAGTGCAGTCAATATCAAACAAGTTATAGCAGTTTCCATTTCAAAAACAACTACTGAATATTATGGGTTACATTAGACAAAGTGATTTGTTGGTACTGAGAAAATGTAACTTACTACATAAATTTCCTAATATCCTTTGTAAGTCAATGAATCTCTCAAACGAGAAAGTTCTTTGAAAACAAGAACTACATACTTCAGTATTTAAAATATATTTCCGTATTAGTTACCAAATAAAAACAGATTTAAAATAATGAAACATGCCATTCTACTTATTGTCAGCCTGTGGACATCGGTGGTGGACATCATCCAGTGGAAACAAAAAGATTGATGCTGACTGCTTTATTCATGCTTTAATATATTCACATTGTTAAAACGTTTTTAATTTACAAAAGATACCACTATGATAAAAACTACAAACTACTACTAGAAGTAATATTCAAATTAACAGTGGCAGCAAGAAAATGCATGGGTTTGTAACATGGAACACAAAAATTCAGGAAGGTTTTTAAAAGCTGTAAGCAAAACTTTATGCAGTACTCTTTCAATGCAGAGTGCAGAGTTTATACGTTGTGTTAGACTCAAACACCACAGAAAGAGTGGAAAATGAAAGCATGAATTAGTGACACAGTAAAGGAATACTAGTTTCTACACATGCAGTTCTGTCAGCTAAAACCACTAGGAAAGATGACTACTTCTAACCATGGATCATCCATTGTTTAGTTTCTTACCAAATGGGGAGGGTGAGTTCTCAACCTGGAAAGTGCATAAATCAAGACCTACAGGACCCAAACCAGATAAAATGGATGATTATAACACGAAAACAAAAAAAAAAGTAAAGAAAAAGCTGCATGCTGAAAAAAGCTACGCAGGTATGACAGGCAACAGCAGCTACATTTTATTCTCTCTTAAGCAGCAAAGCAAAGAGCCAAGTAAAACAAAACGTTGAAAAGGCTGGGGATTTTTTCTGGTAGAAGACAACAAAATCATCTCAAACCAAGGTATTCTCAAGATACGAAAATTGTATCTGAAATCACCCAGAGCATAACCTAGAATAAAACAAAGACATCTAAAATAAAGAGGAAAAAGAAGAAAATAAATACCAGAGAGACCTTATTAACATACATACCCGAATGATCTCCAGACTTTACCAAGTCGTCAGAAAGTATTCCAAGAATATCATCATCAGTATTTAAGACCTCAGAAAGATCGGCTAAAGGATCATCGGCGCTACCTGTATAAGATGCAATAAATAAAATCAACCAGTCGTGGCATTTATACATGATTCTGCTGATGTACTATAGGTTGAGCTATAACTCAAACACAGATTTACCAGCTTAAGGGCCATAAGTGTGTTATGTACGGCACGGGGTGAGAGACTGTGCTGACTAGCCATCCCCTCCCATTCCGTACCGTGGGCACCTTCACATGCTTACGTTGTTTACTATTTTCTCCGATACAGTAAAAGTGATAATGCAATCAGTCATGTGGAAGAAAGACTGGATTATTTTAGGGGAAAAAAACTCCAAGATCTTCAAAGAACTTGCAACCTTCGAGACACAAAGGCCTATGAATGTAGAAGTCAACAAATGCGTTTTATAAAGGATACAGCTAACAGCAAATCAACAGGGAATATTTAAAACAAAAAGGTAAGGAAGTGATCAGTTACTTCTCTTACCACGACCACCTTTCTTAAGACTACAGAGCGACCACGTACTACACCCTGACAGGGAAGTAAAACATAAGAGTAAGAAGCAGTAGTAAGTAAATGAAAATTGGAGATGCTTTTTTTAAGATCAGAAGAAATCCTGAAGAAGTGAGAACAGCCAGAGGTAGAAATGTCATGTTTGTTTGTTGTCTAGGAAAAACTGGCCTGGTCCTAGGAATAAATTATTTAATATTAAATAATAATTTCCAGATATTATTATCTTCTTGACATCCAATTCATTAGACAGAATTGACTCCAAATGGCCCATCTGGTTTTATTAACTAGTTTTTTAGGCCTATTACAGATGTGCAACATTTGAAGAAAATTGTTTGACAAATAAATAAAAGTCGAGAAAAATATTTTTCAGAAAAACTGCAGACTATCATGACTATACGAGTAATCATGGCAAGACCGATGAATCATCAAGAGATGGTAAAATATATAAATACACATAGAATTAAACAGGGAAAAGGGATTATTACAGATCATACAATGCACAATGTGGAAAACAAATACAGGCAGGTTGAAGAGGGACCAGAAAGTCGAAGAGCAAACATATATTTCATAGATAAATGGGTTATCTTTCCTACTGTTAAACCCCAACTGCCCCAGGAAATTATTTCCAGCTTAATTCAGAGGCCTGGTGCCAAGGATTTACTTATATCATGAGGCTACTTTCCAAGCTGCTAAATTTTGCAGTGATTTAAGTGTTCCTTCTGCTGTTTTTCAGAGACAATCCTTTTCCCTTCTACCATTACTGAAAGTCAACATGAAAATGATTCTTCTTCACTTTACTATTTTTATTCTTTATTTTTATCCTTTGTAACGCAGACAAGATGACACTATCCTCATTAAATCATATTTTACGTTTGCCATTCAACACAAGTGGATTAATGTGCCAATGCAGACTAATCTTCACATGTACATAAAGAATACAGCTCCTGTGGATACCAAGAGAAGTATTTAAAAGTGCCTCAAAACCACATCACTTTGTGGGTATAGTTTTGTGTACCTGACAAAAAGTTCTATGAAATGTAAGCTTTTACACAGAATACAGTTGTTGGGGTTTGGGTTTGTGGGGTTTTTTTGGGTTGTTTTGTTGTTGTTGTTTTGTTGGGGTTTTTGTTGCGGTTTTTTTGGTTGGTTGGTTTGGGATTTTTTTTGTTTGTCTTGTTGTTGTTTGGGTTTTTTTAGAAACTTGATTTCCTTCTGGCAATTCGGTCCAATATCAATTACGTAAGTAACTAACTAACACCAGGCACTGCAAGATGACGTTAATGACTTCATCTGGATGGTAGGCAAAGGATTGACTTCAGCTGTTCTTTAACCTTCCTCAGTTCCTACTGGAAGGCAAGTATCAGGGAGAAAAAAGCCCTTATGAAGGAAGCACCAAGACTTTATTAGCAGCCTTTAATTCTTCTGTAGTATTGTATATTACGCTGGTTTTCTCTACAGTCCTTAGTAATGTGCTTGGGAACAGTCCCTAAAAATTCAATGTCTAATTTGAATATATATATATTTAATAAGCAGCTAGAAAGAGCTCAGGTGGAAAGATGTAACTGAAGAGTTTACCACCCGTGGCTACAAACTGGCTGTGAATAAATTCAGGCTTCAAATTAGAGAGCTCCCAACTATTAAGGCAATCAGATTCTGTAATGGCCTTCCATTGAGATTAGCAGATTGGAAAAAAGCTACCTGCTTTCAAAATGGAGCTTGTTAAGTCTATAAAAAGGCCAAGTGTTGGTGATAGAAGAGGGCTAGACTCTATTATCTGCAAGTCTCATATAAGACATATAATTTAAAGCATATTTTCACATTTTTCTTCTATTTTTTTTTCCTCATTTTAATTCCATGTGTGCTAAATATTATCTTGGAAACAATTAAATCACTTTAGTCAGCTGCTTCAGATCAGAATCAATAGCTGGATGACATCTGCTGCCAAACAAACAGCTCAATACTGCTCATTAATTTGACTCTTTCAGAATGGAGATGAAAACTAAGACAAAGCAAAATGGAAAATAATTTGCTTGTAAGGCTGGATCTCTAAGAGAGCACAGTTCTACTGCTATCTCGTGATCCTGATTCCTCTAATGCATTTATTTTGATGTATTTATGAAGTTCTAAAAAGAATAAAAACACCTCTCCCAACGCTGCAGCCACCCTAAGAGGTTCGATCACGCAATAACGTATCTAGTTATAAAATGTCCCAGAAGTCTTTGCATCAGTTGCACGGAGACTCAGACAACTCCTCTCCATCTGTCTAGGAAGAATTTCTTTAGCATTCTCTGGAGACCCTACTTGAACAAATGACTTTTTCAGCATCCCTAGAAAAAATACACTGGATTTAAGCTATGTCAAACTAAAGGAAAGATCACATTGCCAGAGCATTCACAGAACGCACCTCACCGTACAGCCTCGATTTCATCAGCAACACCCAAGTCAAGAAACTCATGAGAGATATGGACAGTCCTCAGACCACTAAGGATGCGAAATCGCCACCTTCAACTGTACCCATGAGCAGTCAGGGAGACCCTGGAGATCCGATGCTCTGTGTTCCCAGTGAGCGAGCCCTCCCACTCTGCTCTGGCACTGTCTTGGTAATAATTTGAAGGGTTGGTCCCATGCAGAACACACTGCACAGTGTGCCACACGTTAAAAAACCACAGGAAAGGTCAGTCTTGGAACTCAAAACAGAAACTGCAACCTCTCTGCCAGGCAGAAATCAAGACTGGGAACCTAAAGCTCCCTTCAGTCACTGTAATTAATAGTGAACAAAGGATTCCAAAATCCCTCTTCTGGCCGACTCTGCCAATCCCCATCACTACTACAATCTTGTCTAGCAAAAGCTTCAGACACCCTTAACTGAGCTCTAAGAATAAATAGTCACAGAATACGTCAATGAAATGCACTTTCAGTTCATGAGCAGACTGAACACATCGCAGTTAAACTCCCTAGCAGTCCTACACATGATGAAAAGCAAAGCACATAGAATAACTTCTTCTCTGATGCTTGGGAGCTCTTTGGAAGACGCACAAGTCTGTCTAACCCTTAATCCTGTGATTAAACAAGTGGATTTTCCAGAGGAACATCTTCCTTGCGGAAAAAGACCTGTCCAGTTAAGCAAGGTCTCTCACAGGAGCCAGCGATCCTTGTGAGAAATGGCACTGTAGGAAAATAACACAGTTGGCAACAATATGGTCCTACCAGGCTCCCAGCGCAGTGAATAAAGCAGTTCATGTTGCTCCTGCTCCAAAGCCAGGTCTGTATCAAAACAATGAAAATATCACAGGTGCTCTGGGACACTGTTCACACCTCCAGCTCCTCCACAATACCAGCCAGAAGGGAAGATGGGACTGTCGCTAGCTCAGCAGTCAGCCAATTTACCAGGGTCTCCACCACTCAAAATGAATCTCTCTCTCTCAGTGTGGACGCTATTGTGGAACTAACTGTCTCCCACAAAGTCACAGTGAAAGAGTTAAGAAAAATTGCACTGGAACTGATCAATACTGGCAGATGACTTCACCCACTGCTGCTCCAACTACAACAAACAGCTCCGTCTGGACACAATTTTGGCTGAAAATCTGAACGGTTGAGAGACAATTGTTGAGAACATTCCTATGGCCAGAAAGCACTGTCCTTTGAGTCTCTCATATATAAAATGGGAAAGACAGTAGGTTATCCACTAAAACTGTTGCTAGTGATTTATTTAATAATAGCCACCTCGTCATGATTTATTTCTGAGTAAAAAGAAGAGGAAATGTCAAAGCTTTACAACTTTGCTTATTCATAAATATTTTTAAAAAAAAAATTCCTTTTAAACTTTGGAAAAATAGAACATTAAATTAGCATCAAGTTCATGAAATTCTAAAACTTTATACTACCACAATACGTGGACATTAGTGACTTTAATCTTGCAGTTGGATAGGCCAACAAAGACTTCTGAAGCTGTATTTCCCTGGCTTCAAAAGAACGCTGGGGTGAAAAAGAGTCTCTGCAAGCGTATTTTCTTGTAGTGTTGGAAGCAATGAAATACAGACCTTGAATTACTCTGTTTGCAGTGGTTTTCCCTTCCGGGGAAGTTAACTTTTGAATTCTCTATAACTCACAATTTCAACTGTAAACCAGCCAATGCTTAATTATAACATAGGCTTTTGCCTTTACATTTAGCAGATTTTCACCAAGTAACAATGACAAATAAGCGACCTCTCTTCACGTGACTCTCTGGACACAGGAAACTCTGTCAATGCATGTAAACATTTTTAGATGGAAAAATTTGTGAGGATGAGCTGAAACAAGCCACAAACTACCCAACATACACAAGAAATAGTAACAGCTTTTAAAATATACAGGATGGTAAGACACCTCTAGCTAACAGCACATACTACAAGACACAGAGAAAAAAAAAATAATGGAGGGGACAGTAAGGTTTTTGCCTTTAATTGCTCCTTTGTGTGAAGCTGCCTTTTCAGCAGCATGTTACAACCCTCTGGCTATTTGCAAAACTCTCAGCAGTATCTTCAGTAAGGTTTTGCAATAGCAAAAGAAAAAGATTGCCTAGGGGCTACAAACTGTACCTGGAAAGGGCACTCATGTTCAGAAAGGACATAGTGAACCAAAAATTCCGAAGAGACTGGCAACCTAAAATAATCTAAAACATTAAAGAAAATGAAAGTTGGATGATATTCATCCAACTAATATTCACTAGACTAATAAAAATATCCTTTAATTAAGATTATTTTTGTCTTCTATAATGGATCTGTATGCTTATTCTTACACAGAAATAATTTTCATGGATTTTATACACACACGTTTAAGTAAAGGAGTTTAAGACTTGCATTAAGTGCCAATTTTCGTGCCATGCAGTGCTCTTTCTGAAACAGCTGAAGCCCTGGACCTGAATGTCAGTGATTACCAACACAACTAAACCTCACAAGGACAGTTAATATACAGAATGTTGAAAAATTAATCAGATACACATTGTGAGAAAACTGTAAAAGAGAGCGGGAAAGCCCCAGGTGCAACAACAAAATCAAACTACTGAATTATCACTAACTTTAGCTTTGTATACCTTGAGGTCCCAGTTTTGCCTGTGCTGGCGTGGAAGTTGAGCTAAGAAGGGGGTCAGAGGAAGGATCCAGGAAATTGGTGGTCAGATTTGTTTTACACGAGAGTGGAACTGATTCTTCAGGTAAATTATCTAGGCTCATCTTGTTTTGTCTACTGGTATCTAGTAGGTCTTTCCCGAAGAAAGCTTCCTGCAAAGAAGACAAAATGATTCAATGGACAAAGAATACCGTACCTATTGAAAAAGGTGGGTAAATGGCAAAGTTAAAATTAACAGCCAACTATTACTAGAAATACAAAAATTCAGTCTCAGTTTCATATGCCCTCCAGTATGGCAGTATCTCTTCCAGTCTATACGGCGGATGCAACCTACCCAAGGTAGCTACATTATTAATATTTTATGATTAAAATTACACAGAAAAAAATATAGTCTTCTTATGTATATGTGGCACAGACAGTGTACTGATACAGTGTTACTATATTTCACAAGTTTTTCAGTATTTAAAATATTTCTCCTTGCACAAAAAAGACAGCTGAAGAAGGGGAACACTACTGAGTAACCACAGCGAGGCCACACAAGAAGTTTATGAAAAACATGCAAGCGCACTGTAGTCCAAATTCTGGAACGCCCATACACTGCACTACACACAAAATCATCCCAACATTGAACTGCAGTAACAAAATACCTAAAGCTGTTTAACTTACATTAGTGTCTTTTAAAATATTATATAACAGCTATCGCTCACCTAAGCATGATTACTCAGTAATTTGACAACAACCTATCAAATTTTCAAACCAATTTTTTTTCATTATGTAAGAACTTCTTCTGTTTTCATCTAGTCTTTAAAATCTTAATTTAGGATACAGCTGCTAAAAATAAAGCTAAAGATAGACTTTTCAGTATCAGTTATTCCAACATGAGCAAAAGAAGAATCTAATAAATATTCTATGTTTTACAGGAGTAAAATGTACATTAAGACAAAAATATTTATCCTTATTATTCCAAAGGAAATATTGCTTAAGTATTTTCTTTCCAACCCACTCCCCACTTATGAAATACAAGTTATTTTTAGACAGAGATTGTTCTGCCTCTCTGGGAATTCCTTGCTTTCAATCCCAAAATATTCCATGTCATGAAGTTTGGTGAATATTTGAAAAATAATAAAGTTTTCATTAGAAAACTGAGAAGTGTGAGCCAAATAATGTTCTCAGTAAGAGACATACATAATCCAGTCAGTTTACAAACTGGTTGCAGGTAGGTAAGTTGTTCCATCACCATTAATATCCTGGTTATTACCTGTGAGTGCTACATCTTACCTGCTAGGGATATCAGAGAATTAATGGCATGGGAAAAGAACAGAGATTATTATGGTAGGGAGATGCGGGGCTTATAAAAAGAGAAAACTGTAGGAAAGTGTTACTATATTAGGAAAAATTATTATCTTGAGGAAATGGCACGATCGGGCTAAGGCACCCTGCAGAGGTGAATGCTGAAATTGTGAGGTATCAATTCAGCGAGAAAAGAAAGGCTTCTTTCCCTGCCTTGTCCCCCTCTCAGAACAATTAGAGATCCATATAGTGAGAAATAACACCAAAGGACTGGAGATTTAACATAACATACAGCTTTCTGTACAAACTTACAAGTGTTCTTTACAGAAAACCCATTTCATTTGAATGATAAAATGGGAATCTGAAAAGAAACGTTAATGGTTTAAATGAACTATGAATCAAGACACATAAAGATTAGGTTTTAAAACACATTTACAAAAGAAGTATACCAACAGCTTTACCTGCAAGTAGGCAGGAAAGGTTTCTTCAAGTTTATTTTTCTTTTTTCTGTAACGCTTTTTTATTTTCTCAGTACTTTCAGAAGCTGGGGTAGACTCCTCAACTGGAGTGTCTGGCAGCTGTTCTGTCCAACCTAAAAAGTAACATGCAGGAACAAATAAATAAAAATACTTGGTATCTTGCTCTAAAGGTACAGTGGCCGCATACGTCACGTATCCTGCTACCTACTTGGGTGCATTGGTTCCCCGAGTATCGCTCTAGATGTATTCTAAAGGTGGCTTTTATCTAGTCAGCTACGATCTGCCACCTGATCGTCTGGGCTCCAGCAGTAAGAAATACCATATGCGATCCTAGTCACATCGCTACCTCACTGGCTGAAGACAGAGCTTTAAGTTTCCTATCTCCAAGCCACCTAAGAATTTGGTAATTTTAGAGAAATTGTAAGTGCCACTCAGCCAGATATTTGAAAGATAATTCCACCGAAGTAGTATCTCCAAAATCATCAATGTTGAGTTACACATTAACCATCTTTCATTTTATACACTAATTTTTCTCAAATTTTCGTTTTTTTTAAATCCGAGAAAAGACTGTCATATAAATAATGAACAGGCTAGAAAAAGAGATCTATAAAGAAGCCCTTCAAGAAAAATTACACATTTATTCAGCTATTATATTGCAAAGTGGCACCATTTTTTCTAATAAACACCAAAGCACACGGTGCTCATCCATCATTCAGTATTTTATTTCAGCAGACCAGGGAAAACACCGCAGGTAAAAGCAGAACATTTTATGTCCCACTACTTCTGTCTTGCCAAAGCTAATTACATGAAGTTAATGACTCCGGGAAGTTACTTAAGAAACTATATTATTGTGGTAGTAAAATCTGCTATGCTTTGTACCGTAGTAATCTCACGTACCATATTGAGAGGACAGTGAGGAGAATGAGGCTCACCAACACTGTGACCTCTGCATTGTCTGAGAGTGAGCTTTTGCAGAGAAAGGGGGTGGGACACAAGAGTAGCAAAAAAACTTGGTAAGGCTGATGAGTACTGGCAGCTTAGAAGCAGGCTCTCAGCAAGCTATGATGATTTAAAACATACAAAGATTGAGTTATTTCTTTCTTAACAAGCATTGTGCCTGAGCAGACAAAAAGAATCTCAAACTTAACTGAAGAATACTTGTTTAAGAATACCGCTTTTTAACAATATGTACTGTACTGTTACCCAGAATGGGGAATTAACTTTTTAGCCTTTTTTTTATTTTTATTTAAAGGAACAGATGCCTATAGAAATGAAAAACTTCAAAGCAAAATTTTCAGCACTATCGGAAACAATGTAGTGTACTACACCAAACCAGTATTTACAAAGCAGAAAAGCATAGCTATGACACTAATATTGTAGAGAAAGCAAGCAGTATATCTGAACATGGGACCTATCTAGAATACTGCGTTGCACTGATAAAAGAAACATTTGCTGGCTTCATAAATTAGTTCTATAAATGCACGCAAGGACAACATTTAGCTATCAGTTTGTAATACTGCCTGGATCCTGTAGTAAAGATCTAGTCTTCACCATGTTGTACAAATATATAGCAACAGACCAATCTGGCTCTAAAACAGTTAAAAACTCAATAGCTAAACAGACAGGAGAAAGTAATAGGAGAAATCAAAAGGCTGGAGTCTTCTAATTGAGATGACATCAGCCAACCTTTAGAAGCAGCTGCCTCCATCTGACTTTATAGGAAAGAAAACAGGCTCTGAACTAAACATATCCCACATTTCACCTTAATGATGCCTCAATATTTTCTAGATTAAATAGCGTGAACAAATCCAGATGGACAAAATAATTTAGTCTAATCACACATAGCAAGCAAGAGATCAAAGCCCATAACTAAAATCCAACTAGTTGTTAGGTGCACAATCTACCGAGTAGTGCACTGTCAGACGGCATTAAAATGGCTTTGCTGTGAGGAGACCAGAGTAGGATTCTTCAGCCCTGGGAAAGACAACAACTGATGGAACAATGAGACATGCATCTAGAAGATCTTTCCTCATTACAAATTAATGCAAAATTATATTTTCTTTTAATCATCTTTCATAACAAAAAACACAAGGGTAGCTTATGAAACTCTCAGATATCCAGTCTAAAATGAAAAGGAATTATTTCTTCGTGCAACAATAGTGTATCATTGAAATCACTAACATAGGATTTTCCAGCACATAATTAGATAAATAAAAATACCAGACACATTTGTGGAACATGAAACAGTAGTGAATATTAAAACTGATGGTCCAGAAGACACCTCTAGATCAGGACTACATCTGGAGGAAGGTGTATCAGAAAGAGGACTGCTCTAAACCTGCCTCATTTCTTACAGTTCTTTCTGTCTTTGTCATGGCTTAGGCCAAATCGGCCACTGGGGATGTGGGGGACCCCAGATGGGACTGACAGATGCTCCCCTCTACCCCTCTTCAAAGAGAGAGGCAGAGGAGAGAAAAAGAGACTTAATGAGTTTAGAAGGAACTAAACTACTTTAATGAAATATTAATAATAAAATAAAAGGAAACATACAAAACTGCATCAAGCTCCCAGGATGACAATCACAACACTGGCTGGTACTGGGGCAGTCCCAGGCCGGACTCAGTGACAGACGTGAACTGGATTCCAGATCTGCATTCAGGATTGGGATTACGGGCAGATGAACACACAGAGCCCTCCTCGTACGTCGGCCACTGAAGAAGGAGGGCTGACCCTTTGATCCCTCAGCTTTTATACTGAGCATGAGGCAGATGGGATGGAATATCCTGTTGGTCAGTTTTGGGTCACCTGTCCTGTCCGCTCCTCCCTGCAGGTGGAACCCCACTATGCTTTTCTGCTTCCGACTCTCCAACGGGGCAAATAACAAAGTTATCTGCCCTTGGGGGTTACAGCAATAAGCATAAGCAAGAGCCTCTCTGCATACCATCCCTGGGCATCACCTATAAACATAGGTCTTATCACTGTGAGAGCGAACAGCGTCTGCGCAGTATGTTGTTCATTTCAGCAGTTAGAAGAGGCCCAGCTAAGAAGCGAAGTTACTGAACAAAATTGGTCCTGTTTTACATCAAACCAGGACAGTCTTCTACTGGTCAAAGCTAAATAGAGCTCTGACACAATACAGCAGTCCTTATAATCCTCACTATTTATCTCCCACAATAGCCTGTGATTCATTGTTTCAATTTCTTTGTAGATCATGGGCTCTGCTGAAATTTTAAGTATGTAGGAATATGTATTTTCAGTTGAATTAATAAAGCCAACATGACAAACACAAAAAACCTTTTCCTTCGTAGCACAACTCTGGAAAGAACTGTATGTTGATGAGTTGCATTATTTTACTGCTTTAAGCATGAACAAAAATTTAGAAACAAGCTTCTGCGCTTACCTTCATCTCTGCCAGGCAACTGCTCAGAAACAGATCCAGAAGAATCTTTCCTGGAGAGAGATCTTTTAGTCTTCCCCTGCCCCGTACGGCTTCTTTGACGTACCATAAATCCACCAATACCTAACAAGCAAGCAAAAATTCAATACATTGATTAAAACTATGTTTTGTAGTAAGAATAAGAGTCAAGATTATTAGGCAGATAAAGGGGACTATCGCATCTGTAGATGTCTAAGACTGAATTTGAGATACCTGAGGAGTTTTCATTTAGTTTTATGAAATATTTCTGAATTTTAATATCTCACTGGATATATATGTAATTATCTAAAGGGTCAGTATCTCAGAACTGTAAAACATCCACAAGAAGTTCAAATTACCAAACCTGGCAACTTTCAGATGTTGGTTTCCCCTCCCTTGGCAAGCTGATGAATTGCTAGAATTGGAAGTCAATCTACCAAATGAAACCTATTAAAGAACCTTAAAGGATCATAAAAGAACTCTACAAATTGCTCTAGAGAGCCCACAGCTCCAAATGACGGTACTAGAGAAGGATGTATCGCAAAATAAAAAGAAAATTAATCAACATCATACTGCCTGAAACTCCAGAATCCTTCACTGGAGACTGACTGAAGTGCTCCTGAGCCTTTACAGTAGGTGTGTATGTACATGCATCAGATTCAGGTTTGTTTCATTTTTCAGGGAAACCATTGACTGCAGAAAACTGACAGATGGCTGCTCAACTCATGATCCAAAACCACTCCAAGCAAATGAAACTCTCTTCTCTTGAGGACCCCGCAGTAGAAATAAATGGCTTATTGAGGTACATTACTTGTAGAGAAAAAGGAAATTCTGTTAATGATGTGGGTTTGTACCACCATCTCTACAGGCTGGGCCCATGACAGAAGGTAATACAGACACAGGCATGACCTGCTGAGACAGGCCTTTTACTCAACAGCGTGGGAAATGACATGGGGAGGGTAAAAGAGATCTGTTCAGCTACTAACAGAGATGCAAGAGAAGCTGGACTATGTTGTAACTCCTGCTTCCTTTCCTTCCTTCACTGTATTCCTTGCCTTCACCTCCTCAGTCATTTCATTTCCTCTCTTCTCCTCCCCTACTATCTTCATAATCAGAGGACGTGGCCCCTCGCAGCAAGCAGGATGGGTGTGACTGGCAAAAACGGTATTTGTGACTGCAAAGACTATAATCAACTTCTTACCCACAGTAATGGAAGGCTGCATAATGAAACACAAACCCAACACATAACAGATTCTGAGACATACCGAGGTATGGGATACAGGGGCTCTTCAAAAAGCCAGGCGGTGTCTAAGCATAGCTTATAATCTTGGGTTCAGTTTTAGCGCTAATGAATCAGAGCTACTTCCTACAGCCACTTAGGTATCTCTAGCTTTTTCTGCCTGGAGACAGCTCAAGTGTTTCTGCATCCAGGACACACACCTAATCCACAGTCAAGATAATTAAGAGGCGACTGCACTAATAAATTAAACTAAATGAATTCATTCAATAACTGAATTCACTAAAATTCACTGGAAGAAGTCATCTGCAAATATTTAGTAAATTACTCTTACCAACTATTTCAGGAAATAAGTAAAACCTGCAAGAGGTTTTCTCAGCTTCCGATATTGCCAGATATATATACATACATACACACACAAAATCTGGCCTTTATCAATTATATAAATACAGTACATTTTCCTATCAAGTTAAGAATCAATACAAGGTATAGATTTGAACCGCTAATGAATAATTGACCGAATACGAAGAACAGGCATACTGCTGAGCAGCAACCTTTGCAAATGTATTTTGATAAGAGGAATAAAAATTATTTTAAACACAACAGGAGAAAAAAAATCTAAAATCATCACTCAGCAGTTCAGAACTTCATACTATTTTCTAATTGTTTTTTTCAATTATACAGAAAAAAAGTGTTAAAACAAACAAGGGATACACAATCCTATAAATTATGTATCCTACCAGGTCTATATGGTTTTCGCTTCCTTTTTTTAATCCCATCAGCTCCTTCTGCCACTTTGGAATCATCATCCACAGCTTCCCGTTCTGGGCTGGAATCTGATTTTCCATCACAATCCATAAGATCACCTTCTGCAGAAAAGAAGCAATGGTAACTTTTCCCTGGAAAAGGGAAAGAAGGTATTTTTTCCAGAATCTCTGCATCTGACCGATTTCTGAGAAACTGACTGAGAATAACATTTTTCAAAGGGGTGACAGATACCCACACTCTCCAAACACTTTTGGGAAACCCGCCCTACCTATATACAAAGACCCAGTATATACATACATTTCCTGTGAGATGATGTCTACACAAAAACGGAGAATAAATGCTACAGCTACTGTATGTGAATCTGAGAAAATTTTTTGGCACCCCTTTCAAAAGAGCCTGTGTTATTGCATTTTCTAAGTGTTTGCACAATTTCTAGCCATATATCAAGGAATATGCATACAATCTACCATGAAGGTATAACTGTTTTGTTTACCGTCCCTCTAAGCTTTGTTTGATAGGGTTTGTTTTTATTGAGAAGACAGACTGAAAAACTGCAGTCTGCACTTGGAAGGTGATGTATAATGACTCTTAGTTTAGAGGGTTTTTGACTTGAAGCTGTGGGACTGACTGAAAGCAGAGGAGTCTGACTTACATAATAGATAATTCAGCCCAAAGGAATTACTCAGCCTTGAAGATGAAGACTGTAATTTTAAGTTAGAGTTTATATTCTGTGGGAAAGCAGGGTAGAAACAATTGTAAAGTATGATGGCATTAAAAAGCCTTTGGTGTTCAAGAAAGAGTGAGTTAATTCTGTTTCTGATATCCCCAAAACGTCCATAGTATAATGACTTTACATCTTCATTTTATTGTAAAGCTTTTGAAACATGTTAAATAGACCCTTGCCCCTGAAAAGGTATTGGGGTCCCACTTCCCTGCTTTGGATTTAGGTGTGTAATTCTATATGGCCTAAAACCACATGCAGTTGTAAGAGGGAGAAATACTGTTCTAACAGACAGAGCTAGACTCTTTCATACCACTTCTGGTGTGGTAGAACTACAACCATTGCTCTTCCACCGGCTGGGTCACAGACCAGACTTTCCCACTGATGAAGACTTTTCCAAGTTCTACCAGCAAAGCTGATGGCTTGGCAAAGGCAGTGCCCACTGACCACCACAGCCAGTTCCCTCCTCCCTTAAGAGCACGGGTAAACCCTCTTTGCAACGTGTCCACTTCTGGCAGAAGATAAACCTGCTTGAGTGCTAACGAGTTCTGCTACAGAAAGCAGCATGTCAAATGCTGAACCCCACAGTGGTCCTTCCCATTTACTTATGAGGCACAGCTCTACAAATAGCAGCAGAAGAGCCACATTAAGCCTATCAAAGCTGAAACTCCAAAAGCAAGCTCAACTTTCAAGTGGACTTTAAGACGTGGAACACCTGATGAAGTGCCAAAACCTGATGAAAACCTACAGATGAAATGGTAACAAAATTACCACGAGCTCAGTTTTCTCAGACACAGCCTCTTTTTTCCACCTGGAACTTCAGGGTGAAAGTAAGGGTTACTCCTGTTTGCCTGGAATTACTACACTATGTTGCTCCAATCAAAGCCGTGGCAAAGCTTTGTTCATCCTGGTGCTCATACAAAAATTTCAGACATTAACAGAACAGGCACTGATCCACTCTACAGAGCACAAGTAGAGCTTCCAGGAAATCCAGACAATCTACCATGTACATGCTGTGCTGTTACTGCCACATATATCAGCGTGCTCTAACTATCAAAAAGGAAATGAAAGGTGATCAGAACCGAAATTAAAATCTGTGGAAGCTTTGGCTCTCCCTTTCATACTCTGCTATTACATTTATATACCTTGTTATCTAGTTGAAAAGGGATACCTATAAAGGCCAAGCAGCATATAATGAAGTTAGACAAAGTTATACAGAACACAGGCACAGGTTTGTAATAGTAAAGATGATTAACCACTGAAAAAGAACAAGGAAGTGGTTAATTCTCTATCTTGATGCCTTCAAACCAAAATGTAAAGCTTTTCTGCTTTCAACAACCCACCTGATGGACTATATGAAAGTATGAGATGAAATTTAAGAGTCAGTGTAACGCTGGGATAATGTATCAAGTCCTGTGAATACTGAAGAAAAACAACTAGTTAACTAGTTTTAAAGGTTATAAACAAATAAAGGGAACCCGTTATAAAAAAAAAAAACCACTTCTAGTCAATAGCAGAGGGTAAGAATGTGCTAATCAAACAATAAGAACAATACTTGTAGCAACAAGTTAACAGGGAAACTGCACTCATGGTTAAACTACCCAGCTATCTCAAGTACACTCTGTATCTAAAAAAAGCCGTTTATGACATTTAATCTGATTAACAACGAGGCAATGTTGCATAAACAGAAAGCGCTTTAGACTGTGGTGAGGTGGGGTGCCTATGTTCCTCTCCTAACAAACACCTGCATGACTAATGTAATGACTTTCACACCCGCCATTTAAGTAAGCCTTTCCCCAGGCCACGGATTAACACCTATGCTACCAACACACTTCTCAGGATGTACAGCCAGACCACGGCGAAGAGGACAGGAGAACGGTATTGTGCCATGCTGGCTGCCGTTTCTAGTGTTGAAGAGCGGGGATTTGAAGAGTAGGGCTGGCAGCTCCTATGTGCTTTTCTCACTCTCCTCCCCCACCTTCAGACTCCTCTGGCTGGGGCTGCTGTGCTTGCTCAGGGGTGAGGGAAGCAGATAAGTACTGGTGGCCCTGGGACTTGTGAATATTTGCTCCACGTCTAGACCTGTGGTGGAAGGAGCTCTCCCCAGTGGGCTTCTACCACTGACTGAAATGTCATCCGCATACACAGGGATGTGTTTGGGTAGGCAAACGTTAGCCCAGCTCCCTTCAACTCTCATCAGCCTTGGAGGCCACAAGAACACTGTTGTTCTTGTTCTTCCCCTCCCTCCATACTACACAGATACCCCATCCCAGAACCTGCAACCCTTTGGGTAGGGCTCTTCATACAGCGTCATCTATTTGAACTAGAGCCACACCAAGAATTCACTTCCAAACTCAAATTTTGTCTTAAATTCTACTTTGGAGATGAGAACAAACAAAATGTTCATTTCGTCTGTGGAAATACAAGGAAACTATTTTTTTTCCTCAGACTCTCACGTCAGCTCACCTCATTTCTTTCAGAAAAAAGAAATACTCTCAGCAAAGAGTTTTCTACTCCACTTTCCCCCTTGTTTTAAATACCAGCTTTACAGTGATCTAAACGTTGCTTCGCCAAGCCAACGTTACCACTTTCAAACAACATTTGCACTAAATTTGAGAGCCTCAAAGTACACCCGTACTCAGTGAGTGCACAGTACTTCTCACAGGGAACCCAAGGATTACACAAAAAGACAACTCATATTGCCAGTGTTGCCAGCCTTAGACAGGTGAGCTTCCTATAGGATGGACAACCCACAAATAGAAGAACAACAAGAAAAATCCCTGAAATGGACCACGACGAGCCATGACTATTGTCTGAGTAATTTCCATAGCGCATTCTGTACAGAACATACAAGTAGCAGTATAATAAAAACTCCCAGGGACATCTGCTATATATACATGTACTGCAACACTCTAGTATACCAAGACATGCCAAAAGTAGACTGTACCTCTACTGTCATCCATCTCCCCATCTCTTGAGTGCTCTGACTGGGCATCTGGGGGTGTCTGAAGCACAGCCACACTGTTCTGATTTATAATTTTCAGTTTCAGCTTTGGTTTCGTCCGTTTTCTTCTCGGTACTGTAACAGTTAGGCTCTGTAACTGAGACATGCCGGATTCTGTCAAGCAGACTCCATCCTGGGTGTATGTCTTCGGCGGGTCTATAAAAGTTAAATGAATTATAACAGCAATATAAAACTCTTTAATTTACAAGTCTTTGATTTTCAGGAATTAAAGAGTTAATAATCCACATGTATGGAGCTGATTCTTGAGTGAGGGAATTGGTATAAATAAAACAGAGATATCTGATACTGTCTTACACATTACAGTTACAGCTTCATAATTTAGAGTCTGATGTCAAATTCAGCAAAAATCCATTATATTGCCACAGAACAACTTACATCAAGGACTCATTAGACAGAAAGATTTGATTATGGAAACTGGCGCCTTGCAGGGTACTTCTGTATCCCTGGCACTCACAGAAAACTGTGCAAGTCTTAATTTGGGTCCCTGTTGCTTATTGGCCAAGGCCCTCATCCAGCCCTCAGCGCCTTCATCTTACTAATTATCTTAAGCTCCCAGAACTCTTGGTAACTCGGGCAAATTATTAGCCCTATTTTACAGGCAGACAAAACCCAAGTTATATCAAGTGAGCTGTTCAAGATCAAATTGGGAACCATGGGTAGAACCCAAGTCTCCCAAGACCTGCAAGACTGTTTCCTTCTCAAGCTGTTACATGACAATTCAGTCTACCGACAAACTCTAACAGTGCTTAATTCACCATGTAGAAAGGGGCTGTCACCTGTGCTGGGGCCCCGCAAGCAGAGGTTTGGGAACTTTCAGGGAACTACCATATAATGGAGAAGCTACAGTGATCATTCTGTTCTTTGGAGCCAATTAAATAATGATTTGGTAACATGGTCTTTGAAAACATAAACATCAAAACTTTTGTTCCCTTTAACCAAAAATATTTTCTGAAGTAACATCTCACACCGGAAAACACAGCTGGTTCTGAACACAATTCTTCCCAGATGACTGTTTTCTTATGTTGAACTAAAAATGAGTGTTTGCTTTAAAAAAAATCACATACTCTTTTTCAGATTGAAGATTTGAGGGAGAACCTTCTCTCAGAACTACATTTGGTGGAATGGAAAAAACTTCTGACGTGATGGAAGCTGTCCTAATATGATGGAAGCTATTAGATACTATCACTATAAAAAGTGACTTGTGAGTAGGCTTGACAAGATTATAAATTCCTAGCACAAACCAGACAATACAGAAAAGTTGTGTCCTACAGCTCAAGCCTGTAAACATTTGTGTACATGCTTGACCCAGTCCTGCTGTGTTATGACCACTAATATTAAGGCAAGCAAATAAGTCTGCAGGATCAAAGCATAATTTAAAGTAATTATTATAATGCAAGTATGGCAGGCAAAAGAGAAGAAAGACGAGAGAATGACAAATAAAAATGAAAAGCATGCTGCGGTAACTGAAGGATAGTTAATGCTGTGTGTTATAAAATCACAGAAAAGGGAATTTTTGTGTCATGTAAAGATATACCCTTAAAATACGCTAAATGATCAAAAATTAAGCATTTACATTCTTTACCTAGGTCTTTTGATTTTGAAATAATCTGAGCTCCAACTGATGAATCACAACAGTCCAAAGAAGGCACTGAAAAATATAAGGAAAATCATTTCAACTTTTAAAAATGGTGACTTGACTTAAACTGAAACTATCAATTTTCCTTCAAACAGTTCTGTTAAACTCCCTAATTTATACTGTTGGCAACATTCACGAGCACCTTTAAAATAAAGTGCTTTTCAGCGCCACAGATGTGACTACAAAACAAGCCTGACACAAACTAAAGTTCTCCAACTTCCTAGAGCCAAGAATGGCATTGGAACGGCACTGAACTCAATGGTAAATGATCTTCTACTCGACCAAGGGCGAAAGAATACACTGGGTCTACTGGATTGGAAAGTAAGATCTTCTCTAGTCACGGCATCCAAGTTTTGCTGCCTTCAGCACGAAAAATGGGAGGGCTTTGTGAATTGGGTATGGACCACAGTTGGATTTCCCCATGGAGGGGCAGGCACACTGCAACAGCTTGGCACACAAGATTCCAGCTGTATCTATGCTGTCAGGTCTCTCATACAACACATATGAGAAACAAAATAAGGCTGATATATCTGAGAACAGATGACACATGACTTGGTGAAGTTAGATAGGGCAATTCTTATTCAAGATAAGAATATCGATAAATGGAACAGCAGAAACTCAGTTGAAAAACTACAGCTTGTAAGCTTCAGGGAAGCACTGGAACAGTGTCTAAATAAATAATGATCAAAATGTTCTACAACACTACTCGTGTTGTGGGTAGAAATGCTCTTCCCATCTACCTTAATTACAATAACTGTAATCACACTTCACTAACTTGTAATGTGCAGACTAGACTTTTAATATTAGTAGTGACTTCACAGAATTTATGTAGACAAAGTAAGTAAAATGAAAATTAGAAGCTTCTATCTCACAAACACTGAGAAGTAGAATCAGAAGACCTGTTAGTTTGGCACGGTTAGCATTACCATATAGTCAAGTTTATCCACACTTTTTTCTTTTTTTGCTAGAAATCTTATCCATGCTGAATTTAAGACTCAGACAAACATCTGGAGTATTTACTTTGCATCTGCCACACAAGATGAGACCACTGAGGCAAAGCACATGTGGAAGGCTCACTGTTTCTCAGACATGTGAGACCACTGCACACACGCTGCTGTTGACCATCTCACGCACAATATGGGAGTTGGGAGCGAGACCAGGAAAAGCACAGAAGCTTCCAACTAACACTTAAATTTTTTGCTAAACGTAATAATGAATATGAAATCTAGAGTATGCTTTATAAGCATATAAAAAAATTAAGGGAAGTGAAAGTCTATTGTCAAAAACTAAAGTCCTTTAAAAGTTTTACATCAGGTGTAATTAAAGTATATGATATAACCTACGGAAAACCAATATTCCATGCAAGTAGTAAGTGAAAGCAACCTATGAGAATTACTGAAAAACTGACGGACAGGAGTAGAAGGAAAAGACAAGGAAGAAAAGAAATTGAAAATGACATTTTGAGACACTGAGCTGGAGGGAAACAAAAAAATATGGGACAAATTGCAGGATGGAAGATACTCAAAAGCACTGAATTGAAACAACAGAAAAAAGGCAGACTGTTAGAAATACTCAAAGTGGAAGAAGATGTCATCTGTTCATTTAATTGGTTATAACTCACAAGATGTTTTGAGACAAAGATAGCAATTTTTGAATTGGAATCTAAGGTTAACAAAAAATTCAGAAAGACAGCTGTGAATAGGAATTGGAAATGCTTATTTAAAAGCCACACAACAGGGAATATTCTTCTGATCCAGGTCAGATTGTGAACAATTTTAGCTTTGATGACTGAATAGAGTTGAAATAGTCAAATAAACAAGCCCATAGTGACAGAGGTGAGGCCTTCACAGACCAACTCATGAAAGCTGCACAAACAAACAGATTTTGAAGACAGTATCAAACATACTTCTGGAAAAGGAGCTAATTAGAGTGCAGATTAAGGATTAAAATCAATAATATGAATAACAGAGCAACACTGTACTGGTAGAGAGACTGTTCAAGGAAAAAAAATTAAAACTTGAATTAAAAAGTGCTTTCTGAGGCACTTAGCTGAAGTTTAACCAAAATTATCGTGCTTATTTGCAAAAGTGTTTAAACATGCTGAATATTGTACAGCATTTTGTAGCTTCAGCTGAAAACAAATAATTGCACAGAATACAATACAATGAGAAGAATCAGTTCCAAAAAGAAAGGGGTCTGCCATTTGTAAGGCTGTAACAGAAAAGAACAATTCTAGGAAGAAATGAAATCTGCATAAGGGACAGAGTGAAACGGTTGATGTAGAAACACAACACTAACAGAGCACTATGGGAGGACGCCCGCATAACTGTATGCGTGAGACAGGGACTTCTTTGTAAATGCAGTAACTTACAAGAACATAAGAGTTGACATAATAAATGTGCCAAATAATAAAAAATTCAAAAGTTAATTTTTAACATATAGTATGATGTTACTCTTGTATCCTGTATTTGTAAAGTACATTGAACTAAATTTCAGAATGAAGACAAATGTAATTCAGTTTCATTGACAACTGTACAACAGCGGCCCCCAGCCACAATATGCACATCACTGGCACTACCGAGCATCTCTGAATTAGTAAGGGATATGAACTTCTCCCTGCCTCTGTGGGTGTGCATACTTGAGCCACTTGAGCCAGATCAGTTGTAACTAGCTACGGAAAACCAGGCAGAGCTGGTCCCTTTGCCTCCTGCAGAGAAAGAAAAACAGCACTAAGGGAGGAGGAAGCTGGAGTATGTGGATGGAGAGAGGATGGGAGTAAGTGAGGAAGGGATGAAATTTGCAGATGAGGCATATGACGTACAGCAGTGAACTACAGAAGGTGGACGCGATGGGTAGATGGCTGAGAATTGCTTGTCTAGGAGGGAATGTAGATGAGAGATGCACACACCTTTCCTGAATGTGCAGGAATTACAGCACAAAGGAAATGCTGCTGCTACCTAGAGCAGCTGCTTGTACCCAGACGTGATAATATTCAAGCAATCTAAATGAGGAAAATAAAATTCTACAAGCCACAGCAATACACCGGGGGACATATGTTATAACTTGACACTACACTAAAGGGAACCTGATGAAACTCTGATCAGAGACAATTATTTCAAAAGAATCCAGTAATGAAGGCTTATGGCATACTACTTCGGAGCAAATATTAACCACATTCTGGCTTTTGATATTTATGTATGTTCAAGAAGAAAAAAACCTATTTATCTTTTATTTCTGTTTGCTGAAGAAGATGACTTTGTAAGATTATCAGATATGGTAAGATGAGATAGGGAAGAGCTCTTAAAGATTCAAAAGTTTCCGCTTTCCGAAGCAAGAAAAATGGAAGCTCTTTCCCAATACCTACATTAGTAAACCTACAATGCAGTGGTAATTTACTAGGTTGAAGGACTCTTGTTTCTTCTACAAAGAAGGTAGTTAAAAAGCTTGTAGTAATACTTGCAACACACCTGTGATACATCAAATGGAAAGAGCAAGAACCATCCCGACAAGAATCCCACAATATGGCACATTTTAAGAAGCTTTCTACTGTTAACTAACATTTGCTTCTCTAAGTTTATCACATGTTAATTGTTCTCACTTTGAAATAAAAATACTATAGAAAATTTTCAAAGGAACTGTAGAAGAGTTAATGAAAAACCGAAACATTTCATATAAAAGTACATGCAAGTATTTCTATGAACATGCATTAAATGACACATTCAGACATGCAACTGTGCAAATGTACATGTGTTAAAGAGGTATTATACATACTGAGTCAAAACATGAAAGAATAAGCAGAGAAACTTGTCTTATAAAAAAAGGTGAAAAAAACCTGCAAAGAAAGCTTGGGAACACCCTGACAGTTCTTGCAGGACTGGTTCCTATTCCTCCAAGACTCTATTCCTCTAAGCAACACAACTTCATGAAGGTGTGCAGGAAGGACTAACTCAGGGGCCAGCTTACACCTGGAAGTGAACAGTCTGTGATACCATCTTGTGAAGTTGTTCTGTCTCACAAGTTATGGGGTTTAATTATCTCTAAAAAGTAGCTCTGCCAGCTCCAAAGAGAAAGGAGAAGGGAGTATTTCTTACTTGGACCTTGGTGTTTTACATGCCCCAAACTTATTATGAAAATAAACAAAAATGTGTTTTATCTGTAGATTTCTTGTTTTTCCCGCTTAAAAAAACCCTCTTTCTTTTTCAATTTGTGAAAGCAGATCTCTAAAATGAAGTGATCTGTAGAAATACACAAGCATAAGTCATTCTTCTAACAGTGATAAAAGTGGGATACTTGGAAGCGATCCACAACCGTGTGTGGTTGAAAAGGGAGTATATAAACCTCCAAGGTCACGTCAGTAAGTTACAATTACTGCCACGCTGTTATAAGGACATGTACCAGCATAAAGGGATGTTCCATTGAACTTTTCTGGGCAGACCTCTTGAACATATGTCTCATGATATCTTCAATCTTGATCAGGAAAGCCAATTTTACTGAACATCTTGCTGGATACAAACATTTCTTGAAATAATTGCTTAGTTCTTGCATCTTCTTCCTACCATGCTCTCATGATACCCCAGTAAAGGGTTAACGTGAACACTTTAACGTGCTATTAAGCTAAAAATGGGCATAGGTGTCAATGCTCTCTTAAAGCAGAAACTCCCGTGAGCTGACATGCAGAGAAAGCAGACATGGGATACCACCCTTGTAGCAAGACCATAAATCATGTAAGAGGCCAATCTAATTGCTGACAGGCCACTCACAATAACGTTAACCAGTACCATCCCACCGAACCGGCTGCTGCAGCTGTGCTGGAGAGAAAACTGCAGTAACCTTGGTTCCTGAAGTACCACAGCTACAGAGCTGTGTAATACAGACTAAGGAGGAAGGTGGTACACTGATAACACGTACAGAGAAGAGCAAAGAACTACATATTTTAACTGACAAGAAAGTGGTGGCACCCGAGCAGGAAAGTGTGGTGAATTCTTTTAAAGACCACAACTAGGGAGGGAAGCGCTAGTCTTAAATCCAGGGAGAGCTGAGGCAGTGGCATTAATAAAACATGAGGGAGAAGGGGAAAAATGCTTAGATGGACTGTTCTTACAGGTACTGCTGCTTCAGCCTCAAAGTATTGAAATATAGAAAGTTTTTCTGCTTGGAATTGATTTTCAGATTCTTCTGCAGTTAGAAACTTCAGAGAACTGAGCTTTCTTCCTCCCACCTCACAAAGTGAGATGCCTTTTACCCTTTCAATACCAAATGCTTTCAGTTGTTTACCCAAATTATCTTCAGTAAATCTAGCCGGAATTCCCCCTGCTAGGTTTTCTCCGGCCTTGCAGCCAATCACTAGAGGGTGCGAAAGAGCTGAGGACACTTCCAGAAGGCCCTTAAAATAAACATGAAAAATCTTGCTTCTACCATGAGCCCAATCTCCACCAGAGAAAAGAACCGTAACACATTCCCAAACCTATTTATTGCAGTGTGCAATCCTGCTATTGGTTTCAATTGTCTTCTTACCGTTTGTTGGTGGTATGTATGGCCTACAAATGGTACAGTCAAAACCCATATCAGCTATGCTTTCCACTTCCTCCTCTGTGTTTAAGTTCTGACAGATTGCATGCATCCATCTAGAAATTAAGTGGGGGAAAAAATACAATTTAAAGGAAATATGTGGTGTTTTGGGAGACCCAAATATCAGTATATGGTCCCAGTAAATGTGAAATACTTGTTTAGTTTAAATTCTTTTAGGGAGAAATGATGATTCAGGTTCTCTGTATATAGCATTCCCCTACAGTGGTGTGTGTTAAATACTGAATATCCAGTATCAGATTACCTATTTCCCTTCACAGGAAGGAAATCTCTGTAAAACAATGTCCTGGAAGCAAGTATGTCTTAATATTATAATTTTCTCCCTATATTGTAATAATTTTAACTACTTACTTGATACAATGTAGATTTAGCTAGATTTAGCCTCACAACAATAGTCTTGCGAGGTAAATTAGTTTTATTTTTACAGAGGGGGGAATAATAAGGCACAGAGTGATTAATCAGTTTGCCCAGAGTCGTATAGTTAAGTCTGTGGTACAACTAGGAATGAAGTAATAAGAGACTTCTGAGACTCAATCCAGTGCTCTTTACCACAAGACCAATCCCTTCATCTTTACGCTTTTACATTATGGGAAAAGAATTAAAATAAGCCTCAAACAGGAATAACCTTTAAATATTAGAAATCCTTACCGATCGCATTGTCTACACTGAATTATAAGCTCTTCATCCCTGTAAGTGCGATAGCAGATTGGGCAGGTAGACAAACTTGCGCAGGGAGCACACTGTGTGTAATTATTTTGCCATTCACATCTTAAACCTGGAGAAGTTGCTCCACAGTGTCTGCACCAAACACACCTGCAGAACAGACAAAATGATCTATTACTTTCAGTTCACAGGAAGATTATTCTGTGGCTTTAAAACTCTCCTACATAGAACTGGGTGAGTAATTAAGTTTTAGATCACTAGCCACCAGGGGGGTTGAGGGGAATTCGTTTCAGGTCAAATATTTTAACTGAATGAAAACGGTATTATTTAGATTTTGATACTTTTAAAAGAAAGCTCCTAAGTAAGAATTCCCTTCAATCTGCAAAAACAGGCAGATGGGTGTTTCTAACAGCTCAACAGGCCAATGGAGTTCCTGCTTCCAGTTGCCATTCACTTTGAGATACGGAGACTTAACCACGTGAAAGGTCTAGTCTGTTGGCGCTTCACCCAAGCAAAATGAATGGTTTTCAGAGGGTTTTATTTTGAGAACAATTTGGTGAAGCATCCATTCATTTTTCCAACTGAATGCTGGAATGAACACCCCAATGAACGTCAATTGGATTATTTTTTTTGGCTAAGAGTTTCAAAAGAAAAATTTTGTCCACCTTTATTTACATGGGGTTTGGCATGAAGAAACAGTATTAAGAGGAGATAAGAGTTTCCCTATTAAATTGATAATCAAATGAAACAATTCAAAAGTATTTTGTTTGCTTTGTTTAATACACCTGACTTAAATACAATTAAAACATTATTACAGTTCAATTGACATTGCAAATATGAAGTGACAAAAAGAAACAAAAGAGGCCAGCAGTCAGTATTTCTGACCCCAGGACCAAACACACCATTTGCACTTCCAGCCTCCCTTCGGAACCGTCTGCAGGGGTGGGTCTAAGCAGTACGTGTGGTAGCTGATGTCGCAGTCATCGCAGAGAAGCAGTCTTCCTGGATCTGTCGCCTTCCCACAGGCTTCACACACTGTGCACTCCAGGCACCTCCAACCTTTGCTAAGCACCACTTTAGTAATCTGCAAATGGCAAGGTGGAAATTATTTGAAAACTGCTCTATGAAGTGCGATCATTGTATAAATTAAGGTCTGGCGAGTGGAGCACAGGATGCTCTTCTGTGCACACGATCCACACCACAAGTAGCTGTTTATCAATCAGACTTTCTGACGCTTCAATAAATGGGAATGGATTAAACAGAAAGGAACTGTCGTTACTGACATCTGATACTGTTCCAGAATGTAATTTCTTTGGATAAACCAGCATACCAGAGAATATATGCTGGATTGGATCTACATGTAGGACAGTTTACTCCTTATAGCAGTAGCTGGTCCTGTAGGGATGAAGGACAACACACGGCTGCTTTTTTTCAGCTACATAGCAAAGCCAAGATTCAGGTCACTACAAATCCCGTGCCTTTCCTAAATCATCTGTGATAGCCAGTGCTGGGCTTTTAGTCATCCGAAGGAAACAACTAATCTGTTGTAATTAATATATAATGTAAGAGTAGTACATAAACACAAAGTCAAATTATAGTTGCATGAAATATGCATATGCATTTTGTAAAGTACATGGAAAATAAAGTTTTGTGGCATGTTTAAAAAAATCCCATTTTACATAGATGTACTCATATAACAAACAATAAAGAGTGTACATTGTATACATTGCAGTAAATAGCTTATTATGTGCTTGCTAAGTCATCTCGTACCATTCAAATTTAATTTTCACACATTCTCTCCTAGGCTAATGAATGTAAAATGTATTAATTAACCACTCCAACTGCTGTCAATTCTGACAGCCAACAGACAAATTGAATCAACTAAACCCTATACCCCTAGTAAATGAAGATGCAGTATGAATTTTTTCTTTAATTCTGCTTGTATTTAGGTTTTAAGCTTATATCTCAAACTGTTATTTTAACCAACTACTGGATAATCAGTGCTATTTATGGTTGTGAAATTACAAAAAGGTTAATTTCTCTTGAGGCAATGCATACTATAAAATGACATTTAATTAAAGTCTTTCACAAGTCGCATACAAATAATGGTCACATTAGCTGATGAATATCTAACAAGTTAATGACTCCCCTAATTACCACAAAACCAAAGGCAGCATCGTGCTATTAAAGTACAATATGAAAACAGTGTAATCAAGTATTTTTTTTTAATGTAACAAAAGCACTCACCTTAATACTGACACAGTATGGATGGTAACACTGACCACATTGAGAACAGGCAAGCAACCTGCCCTCAGCACCTTGGCCAAAACTCCCACAAACTACACACATATCCTGCAATGACAGAGAAGAGCAGATTTTCAGCACATGCCAGACACTAAATTCCGAAAACAAGTAACTAAAATCCAACTAGCTTGCTGTATAATTTAACGCCTAACAAGGACACTAATTTATTTTTTTTCTAATTAAAAGCAGAGAAACAAAATGAAAATACAGTAATTATTATTCTAACCTGATGGAGAGTGAACTTGTCACTGTTAGAGAAGAGGACAACTGTATTATGCATTGAATTTTCTTCCTCATCTTTGTTAGATGAAATATCCATAGTTGTGACCTATTAGAAAAACACAAAACATGAATGGCCAGAATGCCACATTTTCTAAGACATGAGACAAGATGAAGCTTATTCTCTAAAAGTGTTATTTTAATAGTACCAGAGAACATAAACTTTACGAGTATTTATTCATACAGTATGAACTTTCATAAAAAGCTACCTTTATCAGAAATTACTATATTAATTCACATTTTCACATCAGTACAAGCATCATCACTATTTCAGCTTTACAGACAGATTCTCTTCCTCTCATTTGTTCACCTTTACACACTACTCCATTGCACTTTAAAATGGAAATGGAAGGAAAGAGGTAGTGTAAGAAAAAAAAACCAACAATCAGTACGCAGAAATTGTCATATTGTGATCAGTCTGCTCTGTTCCCTTCATATAAACACTGAAGTTCTTCTCATTGAAGTTAATTGCGGCAACATACTTTTGAGTATTCATTCAAAGAGCAATTGCAGAAATGTAATTTGTCCCATATTGCCTAAAATATGGTTTAACTAATGTTCCAAGTATGTTAGAGGAATAAGCAAGAGTTCTAAAGTTACAAGGGTTAAGATGCTTTCCGTAAGCAGTTTCTTTATGAGGCTTATCTATCTTGCCCATAAAAACTTGCATTAAACCTGAAACAGATGTTTTCACCTCAATCCATAAGCTCTTACTATAGACAGTCGTTCTCCTTTTGATCAAGAGATTGTTAATCTCACCTGTCCTTTATTAATTCAGTGTATACACGTAAATATAGCTTCTCAGGAAGACAAAGAAGGAAAAAAAAAAAAAGATTTCAGCTGTGTTCTGACTTCCATGCAAATCTTGCTATGCAGAACTTGCTATCCATGAATTTCAATTAACAGGCCTGACTATTTCCTCTCTGAACTAGTAGCAGGCATGGAAGCTTGGAAGGTGGAGCACACACTTCTATATAAAAGAACAAATGCACAATATAGAAATGTAACTTTGTTTTACCAGCTGTTTAAATTTTATAAACGTGGATTATTTAAAACACAGTTTAATTCTTACACGGATAGATTTGTTTAAATAATAATTTAGATATTTTACAAATCCAAACATCACTCTAGAAACAAATGTAAATATCGTTACAACAGCTACGGGAATCCTTCTGATACACTGTTGCTGAAAATCAGTGTTTACTGAGAAACAGCTAAAAAGGGGATATATTGTTAACGCATTTTAATTACTGTATGGTTGAGAGCACTGCAGCTGTAACTAACTAATTAACCAAAAAACACCCAAAACACCTCTTGATACGTTCAGGGAGAGCTTTTTCCTCACATATATTTCCACAGGTTCCACAAAATTCTTCGAATAGCTTGCATCTACAAAGGGAGCAGAATTTGAATGACTGAAGCACTGCAATTTTGATGCTTGCTTAATGCCAGCCGTGACCCAGCTCGGGTTAACCTGTAGCCACCTTCTTCTTCATTCCCAAGATATACCAAGATATTTCCAAATGTGTGCAGTTGTCCACTGGTCATGATCTCACACTGCGTAAGAATCAGTTTTTGCAAAGGTGCTGAATATACTCCCATTTCAAAAATTTATCTGGCAAAAGGCTGGTCTCTTGGAATTGCTACCTTCATCCACTCTATCACGAGACAGCCACATCTCTGCTCTAGAACTCTGAAGCTGCCGTTTACTTGACGAGTCACAGGATCAGATTTCTATAGGAATCGTGGAAAGTGATGTCCATTTTGTATTTATGGCAATTTACCTAACTCAATATCCTCTGTTCAGTTACAAAAAATTTTAAGGGTTTGTTCTATAAAATCCACCTTCCCTTGAAGTACAAATTTGTGCTTTGTAACACAGCATCACAGAAGAGTGTGGGTTGGAAGAGACCTTTAAAGGTCATCTAGTCCAACCCCCCTGCAATGAGCAGGGACATCTTCAACTAGATCAGGTTGCTCAGAGCCCCATCCAACCTGACCTTGAGTGTTTCCACGGATGGGGCATCTACCACCTCTCTGGGCAACCTCTGCCAGTGGTTCACTGTAAAAAATTTCTTCCTTATGTTCAATCTAAATCTACCCTCTTTTAGTTTAAAACCATAACCCCTTGTCCTACTGCAACAGCCCCTGCTAAAAAGTTCATCCCCATCTTTCTTATAAGTCCCCTTTAAGTACAGAAAGGCTGCTATAAGGCCCCAGAGCCTTCTCTCCAGGCTGAACAACCCCAATGCTCTCAGCCTGTCCTCATAGCAGAGGTGCTCCAGCCCTTTGATCATTTTTGTGGCTCTCCTTTGGACTCACTCCAACAGTCCCTGTCTTTCCTGTAATGAGGACTAAATAATTATGTGAATGCCTCCAATTCAATAAGGTACTTATGACTAGTTTGAGTGGAAGTCACCCTGTATGTTTAAAATTACATATTTGCTTACAAATCATGACCATCCAAAGCTTTAAAAGGGAACAATGACAGAGACATTTGTTTCTTTCCCAGATCACAAATACCAGAGCATTCCAAGAAATTATTATATAGGCAGCAGAAAGTGGCACAATGCTGTATAATCTCAAACAGATTGCATATAAGAACACAAAAAAGCAGCTCTGAAGAGAGTCTGAGGAATTACTTCATAAAGACATAAAAATGAGTAAGTCCTCCTCTGAACATGAGGAACAGGATGCCCCGCTAAATCTGCAGGGCTGATTGATAATCAAACTTTAAAAGCAATGTTCAAAGAAGCCAAGTCCATAGCAGGAAAAAAACCTGAATTTCCTAGTTTTTCATACCAAAACCCCTCTTCTTAGCCGGAGCAGACCAGGACTGTGTTAAGATTTAAGAGTTTTAAAAGGACTTCAAGTATGAAACAGCTTAACTATCAATTGCAGTGAGCAACAACTTGCTTAGAATCACTTCAGTGCTGAAGGAATGGGAGACGGCAAATGCAACTACCGTTTTCTCAAAGGTTTTCTTGGGGGAAGCCATGTACTGCCTGTCCTACAGAATATCTGACATTTGATCATAACAGAGAACTTGCAGCCACATTAATATATACTATATTTTGTGAAAGAGTCAAGGAAGCTTTAATTATGGTAAATGAGGACCTAGCAGAGCTCTCTGAAGGAGTCAGCAAGCCTGAGGACACGGAAATCTGACTGACAAAACTTACTTTGTTACCAATTCTTGTGGTAAAGTCCTTCACCAGTGATCCTCAAAAAAAAAGGCAGACTGACCTAGAATTAGAGGGACAGTCCCTATATTGACAAAAAACATTAAATTAAGAGTAGAATAAATTATCAGTTGTCTGTGTGGGAGAATAGCACTGGTGGAATCCGATAGGGATGCCTGCTAACAGGCTGTGGTGTTCAACACACTCGTGTGCAATCTGAAAAAATCAAGCGAGGAACAAGGTGACAAAGCTTGCCAACAGTATTAAGATATTCAGAGTAATAAAAAAAGAAAGACAACTGTGAAGAACTGCACAAGAACTTCATAAAGCTGAGTGCTGGGCTATGGAAAGGCAGATGAAAGTCCGAAAAATAAAAAAATTACTATGACAGAACAACTGACAAGGATGATCAACAATATGGAACAGCTTCCATACAAGGAACTACTCAAAATACTGGGATTCTCCAAACTAGCAAGAAAAGAGTGGAAGGAAAAGGAGGAGAAATGACGGAGATGTATAGAAACTGAGTGGCACAGATAGAGGAGGTGAATAGAAAACAACTCTCCACTTCCTTTCTGTAAGAGCTCTAAGGAGCAAGCAGTGGGACCAGCAGGCAGCAATTTAAAATAACAGGCTGATGAGCTGTAGAACCAAAAACATTAACATGGTTTCCAAATGTTTTTAAAAGTGAATAGTCAAATTCATGAAAGAAAGCTCCAACACATGCTGCCCAAGACAAAGACACCTCCTCCTGTTCAGCAAGACCCCAAGCCACAAACTGTTGAAGCGTGTCCTTCTCCAGGCTGCTTCTGTTTCTGCACTCTTCCCCCAGCGCTCAGTTTTGGTCCCCTGGGTAGAAGAACCTCTGGTGTGATCTGCTACAGCTGCTGTTTCATTCTTATGCCCAAGCATTGCTCTCCCCTTTTCTGTTGTTGCAGTGAGTGCTGCCTTTCCCCGGAATGTTTTCCACCCAAGGAAATGGAATGAGTACTCTAAGTCTCCCAACAGCTGTGCCTTTTACTGGCAAGAGCAGCATAAGATTGCTTCAGGTCCATTAAGCTACAGTGGTCCAGTTCTTCATTACAAACACTTAGTGACAGCCAGGCTTTATCAAATACCCCTGCTTTTTAGTGCTCTTTGGTTTTATACAGTATTTTAATACAAGAATTATAGCTGAATAAAAACACGTTACATTAACAGACTGCAATATGACTTAAAAATAAATGTTCTTACCCCTGGAATGACTACAGTCCCAACTCCATTCTTCAGTTTTGATCTACCCCTGCCACCTCTTCCTGAAAGACCTGCACCACGTGGCCTCCGCTTCCCTGGGAATCCTGATCCACGGCCCTATTCAATATAAGATAACAATTTACATGGGATATCAAACTTGTTCAATGCATTTAGGGAAAAAAATAAGTAAAAAACAGCCTATGATTTCAAGTGAATATGAGGCCATAATCACTAAGTCACTGCATAAATCGTTGTGAAATACCTTTAACTACTTACATGACATAATATGATCACCTCTATCACCAGTGAGAAAGCAACCAAATCCAGAAATGTTTATTTTCTGCTCAGGAATAACTGGAAATTTGGAAAGTTTTTTTTTTTTTTTTCCCCCACAGTTGCAAAGTATCCAAAATAAATATCCTCTATTCTATGATTCATTTTTCTTTTCTTTTTAAACACTCAGCTCAGTCAGTCATGGGACTTCTGAATAGGGCCTGGCCACTTCATTACTTGCGACCATAGATGCTTTTCTTATACTATGAATAATCAAGCAAAAACTGGAATTTATTAGGACTCAGTCCTGTTCCCAAAGCAAAGCAGGAGCTGCCTCCATCAAACTCTCTTAATTCAGCAGATACAGAGAGAGCTTTTTGTATTAACTGTATCAGTTACACTCAGATCAACATTCTCCATAACATGATATTTTTCTTACAAATTATCCACTTATTTTTAGACAGCTTCTTTTTCCCCCTCCCTTATTTCAGGTGCAGGCACACAGTTGCAGTGTTGTATATTCTCGAGCATTCACAGTATGTTCAATTACAACCAATTGTGGAAAAGCAAGTATGTTTTTAGTAATAATTACCTGATAGTAATACTGTGACTTAGTTTGAATGACAGTATTTTATTTTTTTTTAATTTAAAAATTAACTAAACACGAAGAAGATCCTTAATCCTCCCTAATCACTTCCAGAGAGAAAAAGAACACATTCACAATGTCCCCGTGATCTGGCTGGTACATCAGACATCTTTACAACATATTTCAGAGCCTCTGATCTGTATAACTGATGATAATTATGGCATATACTCAAATAAGCATCCTTCCTACTATGAAATAAGCAATGAGATTATTTATTGCATTTCAAATTTGTGAATAATCTCAGCTCCTAATACAGCCCAACTCCATCCACCGAGTACCTATAAATGGTGCCTGTATCCAAACATTTGCTGGAAGCTGCTTTTAGTACTGAGGCAAAACATTTACTCAATAAAACAATGTTGAAGGAACCACAAAGCTCCTTGGGGATGGTGTCACCAACAGACATGAACAGTCTTTACTGACGGAGGCAGGAGTTCCCTGGATGGAAAGCAGCCCTATGGGCTCAATATTACCAACAATACTTTTCAAATATGCCAACTCTTGTTTTAAAGAAGATATAGAAGTTTACAGTCATAATTAAAGGGAAAATCCAAGCATCCCTATGTTAAAATTTTATTAACATCCATCTATTAATGGAAAGAGAAATTAAATCGACTTAAACAATGAGGTAATATAATGCAATGCTATTTTAGGAAGCGAAAGGAAGGATGCTACTGATGGCTGAAGCATTTATATGTACTAACACGAAAGAAAAAACGTTGTCCTTAGATATATATGGAGTTAAGACATATGCACACACAGGACATACAAGTGTCAATTTTTTAAGATGAAAACTCTTCTGGCACGTTTCTTATTTCTTACTCTCCCTGTTTCAGACCAGGTATCAGTATTGTTATTTTCACACAACTAGTAACAGGAATACGCACATATTTGTATCGATGTTAATGCTGAATATTAAGCTGAAAATTAATGCTTGAAGCAGCAAAAGCTAAGTTAATGTCAAATTAAAATAAAAATTAGCATGAGAGTTAAAGTGAGATGAAAATAAATCATTGGGAAGCTACAGCTATTTGTCAGAGTTTCATCATTTAGCTTTTTTGCCTTTATTTAAAAATAATAATTTCACTTAATTTCTTCAGGTGTTTTTAATGGTAAACGTCACTGTGGATACAAGCTTTGGTCCCTCTAATCAGGTAGGGAAGTTGTTGTTTCTTCCTCCATAAGCTAAAAATGATGTCACTTCGAATCCACCCTGCAAGATTTCTCCACAGCAACAAATAGAAGCCACCTTTCAGATCGCTACTCCTTTCCGTGCCTGGCTTACCTTACTGCCAGTCTTAAGGACATTTTCCTTCTCAGGTAATTTATTTTGACAGCTACGTAAAGCCAACCACAAAAAGTGAAGTACTCAGCACGCACACAAAATTGGTAAGACAAGCTATTCTTTGCCATTGAAAATCAGGGCAATGCCATCATACTGTAGACTCTGGAAAGCATACAGTTTTTAACCAGAAAGCTCCAGAGTTTCAACTATTTTTAAAGGCCTTAAACAGTAAAAGAATGGAAGATTAATTCAGTTGTGAGATACAGAATTTCATCACTAGTCTCTACAGCAGAAAGATAGCAATGGATACATGAAAATAAATTCAAATTATTTACCACTTTGATGCTCCAAATGGCACTGCCAGGAAGCTGTCTGGATTTAAAAATGTCCCGACCTTCTGAAATGTCTGGGGACCAGGAAGGTGGGCTGACTGTATTATTGGTACTCCAAGCCCCCTAGGATATGGTAGGTGAGAAAATAGATGTATAAAACTTCGCAACATAAAAAAAAAAAAAAAAGAAAAAAAAAGAAGAAAAAAGCAAGCAACAAAAAAAAAAATCTGAAAAAGAAAGCTCATGCAGGCATAGGCAATTCTATGTTAACTTAAGTAGTCAATTAGTTCACTGAGTGAAAGGAAGGTGGGAAATCTTTAGGTTCTCATTGAAACATACACTAAAACAAATATTACCCTCCAACTGACAGTTAAATACAACAAAATGTTTTTTACAAACAAAGCATAATACAAATTGAAAGCAAGCAACCATAACAACAAATTAGATCCCCGAATTTTATTGCATCAAAAGACAGTAGTTTGAGATGATAACATCCCCTTTTACACTTCAAATCACATTTTGAAAGACCACATGGCCTTAGTCGACTTTTGAGTCTCAGCTACTGACAATCACAGCAACAACTAGTCTGACAAGCATGTGAAACAAAAGGAATATAAATAAACCATAGGGGGAAAAAACCCAAAACAAAACAAAAAGAAAAACAGCCATGGTAGTTAACGAAGTATCTCTTTCCTGCAAGTTTGCCACAAATAAACCGTTATAAAACCCTGCTACTAAGTTTTTTTTACCCCCATGTTTTCATGTTACACTGTGGTATCAAATTGTAATACATTATTATATACATGTAGTAATTATACATCCATATGGTGCACCTACAAACTCCTTTTAACTAATTGATTATTATCCCTATTTATATAGTTCTCATCATGGTGAGATATTGTATAACTGTCACAAGAAATACAGCAAAACAAGAAGAAAGTGCTAAGATGGACAAGATATTAAAAAAACTGCTAAAGTTCCTCATACACATTAAAATCTGTGGAAGACTTCCTCAAATCCTGAGTAAAGACTGCAGGAGACAGCCATCATAAATAATTTTATTCTAAATTTACAAATTAGAGTAGTTGAAGGGCAATATATTTTCCTAATTCTAAGTTTGTGAGAGGAAGAAATAATGAATACCAAGATAAGAAGTAAGTAACAGATGAAAAGTATAGGTTTACCTTCTCCAGAATGACATTCAGCAACAGAATCGCACGCATGATATGGAATCCTCTTATGCATACTAATAGTCCCAACTATTCACACATGCGTAACTGCTCTCACCAGCAAGCCTAAATACATTTATGCCTTTGAATACTGGCCTATAAAAGCATTAAGAAAAATGAGATAGCTTTGCAAAATGTAGGGGTTTTTTTTTCTGAAATGAAATATTCTCCATCAAGAATGTGTGGGAAACAGTTTCTTTGGAATCAACAATTTATCAAAACATGTATTCATCTCAGACTGTAAATCGGTATTTCACTAACAGCTGCGCTGACTGAAAATAGGGCTACCCCTCAACTGATTTCAGGCCAGAAGGATCACGGGCAAGACCTCCCTAATCCATGTAAGGCACGGCCAGGTTAGCTCAATCTGCTGATGAAGGTGAGTACGAGCCAACATCTCGCTTACCCTCAAGCAGATGAGGAAAAGCTCATATGACGCCTTCTGCTTGCAGAGCTGGGTAGGGAGTAACCTACAGCTGCTCACATAGCTCAGTATCCAAACTGGCACAACAGATCCAAAAGAAAAAGGCTGTCAGTGACCTGAAAGCCCAGAAGTTTTTAAAAATGCCAACATTGTCCAAGTGGTACAACCCGCAGCGCGGACATGGTAGGATTCAGTATAAACCTGCTTTCTAGGAGTTTACCTGTGCCTGCGTGGCAAAGGGAATATGGACAATACAGCTCTTTAGAAAAAACAAAAACCCCCACCACTTTACAATTTTGTACACACAAGGCACTACGTAGACACACAATCTATGAACTGCTTAGTCATCAGAAGATCACTTCTGTGTTTTCAGCTTCCCATCACTGCCCTCCCCATGCCAAGGTGCTTCCAAAAAATACTCCAGCTGAACTGCTGGTGCCAGCAACTGCTCGCCCGCACTTGGGTTGAAGTGAGTATGCTTGATTACGTTTTAAGGTTTTGCTATCCATCCCAGTTTTTTGCTTGACTTCAGCCAGATGGTTATCACACAGATAACTCGGCAGATCAAAAGGATTAACAATGTCTAACAGGGGAACAGTGTTGAGCAGAAACCTTCTGCACCTACACACCTAGAGATGGATGGGAGTGCTTATTCACATCCACGATATAAGGGCATAATATTCATGATATAACATGGGCACAACCACGCCAAGTCAGAAACGGTGGAGAGAAAGCAAGCAAACTTTCATAGAAACGGCGGTTTGATAGACCTACCCAAACACATGCCTGGAATGACTCCTCTGAAGGACACGTCATTCCCTCTCTCTGCCTGTGCTGAACCACCCCAGGCTCTCTGCATGGTCAACAAAGGGGAACGGGTGCTTGCAGAAGGCAACTCACCGCATGGGATAGAAGGTGTCAGGTTAGTCTCAGCCTACATGCCCCAACTGCTCTCCAGCGACTCTAACGGGAACCTGAAGGTGAGTACAGCACATCTCTAACACTGCAGATGTCTGCGGTTGGGTGACTCCCACTCCTCCAGCCCGCAGCAACTTCCACCAGGCAGAAATGGCAACACTGAAGTCTGATTTTGTTATCTCAAGAGCACTGTAGTTTATTAGTCAGTTCTCTGTCCAAATCTCATGTTTTTACTGAGCACTGTCACACTAGTTAGCAACTACATCAGCACATTAGTAGCAATAGGAAATTTAACTTTACTATGCTAGCCATATTTTTAATATCAAGGAATGTCCCATTTTAGCAAGATAAAGTTAAAACTTTCATTGAATTTTAGTTACAACCTACATTTCTAAAATTTATAATGCATAGTAAGTAACTGTTCTTACAATATGGCAACTCAAAGAAAATCTGTGTATCAGAGAAAGAATCTTTACATCAATCTGTAAGGGAGGCAACACGCTGGCTAAAGGTCAAAATTCAAGATCTCAAAAACTTGCTGAAAATACTCCATCAACAACTAAAACTACCTACTCTTATTTGGGATGTACAAAATTATTTTCCTTTCAAGAAGATACACTTCTCTAGTGATTAAGTATATTCAAAAGATTAAAAAGCTAATAGAGTATTAAATCTGAATATGAAATATTCGGTCTTGCAAAACAAAATTAATTGTATATGATTCATGAACCATATTGTTAAGAATTAAATTGGAAATTTAATCCAAGTTTTATTGTAGATCAGAAACATTTGAATTCTTGGTCAGATAAACTTAATTAAAAACACACACTTCCACAATACTACGAACAAATGAATTACATCAAAGAGATGCATTAATTATATTTTGGCTTTTAATTAATGCCTATTACCACACAACACTGAAGAGAAAGTTCTATTCAGTTCATTTACATCAGAACCACGGCAATAATTAGGTACTGTGACAGAAACAGGAAGTTCTAATTCTCCATCATATTCTTGAGTCCTCAAAACTGAACAACACAGCTGCGAGTAAATTATAACAAAAGGAAACCCAGTGTCAGCAAGGGTCAGGAGATCTCACTAAATTACCACTGACTGTTTTTAGCTGCTTAACGCTTTATGAAATCTACTGCAATCGCAAATGCACAAACATGGATTTGCATTTTAATATTTAATGTCATTTTAGGGTTGTGAACAAAATTTAGTCTGTTCAAAATATAGCTCCCCTCATTAAAAAAAAGCCATAAAAACCATAACAAAAACTAATCCTTGAATAAGACCCTTTTTGATCTTTTTTTCCCCAACATCTACCAGTACAACAACATACTTAGTGGTAACATGTAATTGAAGACAGCAAAAAAGCCGTAATACCCAAGAAAGAACACATATCCGAACCCATCACAGTGCCTTTTCATTTTTCAGTGTAATTTTAGGAAATCTCTTAAAACACATAGAAATATGTAATGAGTTGTGTAACAGGCTCCACAATGAAAATTAAGTACCTCTAATCATAGTATTTTCCATGGAACACATTCTAAAAGACAAAACAAAACCAGTAGAAGCTTATTATTTTCTATTCAATGCTGTTCTATGGACCATTCTCATCTCTTTACCTACCAGTCTTACAATGCTGCATATGTTGTAATGCCCTCCATTTACAGACTTCCTATTAGGCTTTCCAGTACACAGAGCTGGTGCAAACTCCTTCAAATTTCTTCAATTTAGATACATTTTAAATGGTATTGGGTATATTCTATGTACCTCCACAGAAAAAAATATACCCATTTTTCTTGTGAAGATTTATTTCAAACTACATATACATCAGATTAGTCATAAATAAACTTACATGATAATTTCTTTTAAGAATACTACTTCGGAAAAGAGAAACATGAAAAAGAGAGGTCCTGCCCCCAGCATAAATTTGCAGTCTGTAGGCAAGGGTGGAGAATCTGCGTATTCCATGGAGAAGATACTGTACAGACCCAACTCGGAGGACAGCACTGTAAAAACTTTATCACGCTAGCAGCTACTACGGAGTATCTCTGATGTACAAACAACTAAATTTCAGATATATGTAAAAACCAAGAGGTCTCCGTTATGGAGTAGAGTAACAGAAACAGAAAAGAGACAGCCCACGGACCAAAACCCATGGGAAGCCAGTGAGATGCTAAGCCTGGAAGACTGAGGGTCCTCTCACTGGGCTGGATGCAGATTTAAAGATTACCCGTACCTGAAGGTATGGATAATATGCTATCCCAACAAACACTGTTAGTAGAAGTGCATCTTACTGATACGAGTTCTTACGTTGATACAGAAAAAACACGTTCTCCAAAGGGGAATAAGCTTGTACCAGCAAAAGCAATTCTTATCAGTATAACTGTACCTCCATGTTGATTTATACATAGCTCCCCTTTTGTTTAGAAGATGGATTTTCTCCTGTTGCCTCTAACCAAAGTAGCGATGCCTGCAAAAATACTAGGGGGTAGAGAGGTGGTGACGACAGCAACGCTGATAGTGCAGCCATTGAAAGGACTCATGAAACCTTTTTAAGGAGAATATCGTCTTCATGGTTTGGGAGATGGGTGTTAGTCCTTTCAAAATAGCAGTGATGCAGTGGTGTTGCAGACCCATCACTAAGGCCTCTTACAAATGCAAAGTACTAAGATCCAATACAGGAAATCATTTCAGATTATGCATAACTTTGTATTCAATAGTGAAACTGAATAATTATTCAAATATATTTTATTAGCAATTGTATTAACAGATTTTGAAGAAAGGGATAATCATTCGTCCTCCTGCCCAGAACAATACATTACATTTCATGAAAACAAATCCAAATCAGAAACTATTTCTTTACATGGATACCCCTGACTTCAGTGAAACCTGTGTCTTACAAAATTCAGTAGCAATGCATTCAGGATCCAGAATTTTTTTTTCCTCTTCTTCTTCCTATGAACCAACCCATTGCAATGGATTTTTTTTACTTTTTTTATTATTTTTTTTTTTTTAACAGGAACTGGACACTCTAAGAAGGTAAACTACATATTAGAAGATTTAAATCTCCTAGGAGAAAGTGAAGAATATTGCCATCTAGGGAAACTGACTAGTCTTGGCTTGTCTTTGGGGTTCACAGAGTAATCGGACTCTTTATGAAATATCTATTTTAAACCTGTGCAGTCCTGGACAAGCAACTAGTTCTGCAATGACAGTTCCTTTGCGCAACGAAAGAAAGTAGCTGTGGAGCCAATGTTGGCTTCACCAAGTACAGAAGCCACCACCTCTTTAATCAATACAAATAACCCAATCCTATTTGTGTAATTCTTCCCTCTGATTTCGCTGCCCTCTAAGACACGTCGCTAAGAACTCACCCAGCAGCAAGGTAACATTCGTACTGCATAACCTAGGCCCTGACACAAAGCGCCACAACGGCATTATGTGTTATTTTTCAAAGAGAAAGAAGTAGACCTCAGACCCATAAAATTAACCTGCTTTGGAGAAGGCGACACTCCTCTTCAGTGACACCCAGAGAAGAACCACACAGGACCTGGTTTATTCCGAGCTGCTGTACCTGTAACTTCATAGAAGCCTTTTTTCTTCCAGAATTTTTTCCCCACTTTTTACTTGATCAAAGTGATCATCCTCTGACAGACAAGTACTGAAACACTGTGTTAGGCTAAAATGTTTTAAATTAAGTTTAGGTCCCTTCATCAGCGGTGAGGCCACACTTGGCATGGAAACTAAGATGCAAAGGTAGAAAACAGCACTCTTCTCAGCTGCCAGCACCTGCCCAATATGGTGCTCTCCCTAAACCAGAATTGGGAGAAAAAATCCATTTTGAAGTGTCTGTAAAGTATGACATAAAGGAACAACAGGTCTTAATTCCTTGGGTTTATAACTCGTGAAACCCCACTTACTTGCCTTCAAACCTGCCCCAAAGAACTGTCATGTAACAGGACGCCAAACCCGACCCCGGCAGGCGTAAGTGTCTGGAGAGCACCGAAAGGAGCCAAGAGAGAGCATCAGAAGGAAGATCACCATTACAGCTATGAGGCTTCTCTCTTTTGCCCATTTGTGAATCAGTTTCTAAAATCATACATAATGAGGTGATGATAAAGAAAGACATATATAGGCCTGCTGGCACAAGTAACAGAAGAATGTAGCATTTTTTCCTCGGGAGAACTGGAACAAATATTAACAAAAAAATCACTGTATGTAAAGTGCACTTTTTAGGATGACATAAATTGAGCAGAATTTAGATAAAAACACAAGGTGTTCTTTGACAATCGAATACATTTAGAGGCTTCTCCTCGCATCCACAACTCTTCATTTGGAAAAGTACACAATTCTTTAAAAAAATTAATCAATGTTTACAGCAAAAATAATAATTAAGCAAAAACCCCAAACTAAACCTAAACCAATTTCTGTGTGCAAAGGCTAAAACATTTATAACATGCCTTACCTACCGTGGATTTGTCCAATTACATCTTGCTCAAAAGGAAAGCACCTCTACCTCTAACTAGACATTTCTAAATCTCTTATTTATATTCTACGGACCGTCATTTGACAGGTTTCACTCCCTCAGCAAAGGCCCAGAGTAAGAAGTTAACATGGCAAACTTAGAGCACCAGAGATAATTCTGTCACTGTTTAGAGCATATCCATATTTCTGCAAATATGATATACGCCTTACTGCACAGCGACCTAGAAAAATCTAACTGCAGCAAAATAAACACAGAATTCCTAAACTCAGTGGAAGCAGAAGGTAGGTCCTAATAATAAAGCCGGTTTTAGAAGACATCTATTATATACAAGCTTTTTCTCTTTTTTCAAAAGACACAAGACTTGTATCTTCATGTCCAACACAGAAAATGAGATGAACAAAAGTAAAAACTGACAGATGAAGAGTCTGAAAAAGATCCCAAAGCCCTACCAACTAGTTAAGCTGAATTTAGATTACTGGTCAGAAAAAGTGTGTATTTTTCATTAATCAAGTACCCGTAGGGTCTTAATTTTTTTCAGTCCTTACTCAAGACAGTTTTTCACTGATTTCCACGAGGTGCTGATCTGTGCTAAAACTGAATAATCAGTGGAAAGTAAGAAACCGTACTGGGACTTAAAACAAAGTATGCATGTGCTTTTCTTCCCAGAAAATTGCTATTCACTTCACAAAAGTTCCAGCTTAATAGGTGTTTAAAGTACAAGACAAAGATAATCAAAATCAAAAGAAACCTTCACAGACTTCCAACATCCTTTTACAAGACAGCTCATGAATTTTACAAGTAACTTGTCCAGTTCTACAGCTGGCACTGCTAAGCACCTTTTTATTTTAAAACATAATTTGCAAAGTGTTGAACAGATTCTATTGATTTAACATCACAGCTAGGATTTTGTGACACATCTGACTTGTAAACTGTAATTCAACTCAGTTTTATTTGCATTACTCACACCACGTATTAAGAGGTTAATGTCTGCACTTATTGTACATAGAATATATAAATTGCTACTTTTACAGCTTTTTTTTTTTTTTTTAAGATGTGATCTATTCTGCTACAGACATTTACAGCTGGGGTCAGCCTCCATGTTTTCCTCAGTGGGTTCTCTGGTGGTTAACCAATTTTATTATCGGTATCATGACGCTGGTTCCCATGCAGAGCAGGGGCAAATTGCACCGAAAAATAAATACAACTCTTACTGGAACACTACAGACAACAAATAAACTTCACCAACAGAAAAACTGGATTAATTTTAGACTAAGAACCCCACCCCTCTTCACTTTGCACCGTAAGCTGAGAAAAAAAGATAATTAATTTTTAGGACAGTACAGAGTATTAAGAAAAATTATTTTTATATTTGCTTCTACGTGAGGGTAAAAAACCCCAACAAACATACCCTCAAACCTTCCAATTTGATTTCTTATATTCTGTTTGTTTTCTTCATTATACACTTTTAACCCTTTCAGAACACTTATCTCATACCTCTTCTTAAGAACCAAGAATTTTCAACCCTTAGGTAACACATAAAAATGGAAGGAAAGAATTGTGCAATATATAAAAAGCTTTTTTAACACTAAGTTCAGAAAAGCATGAAGTCCCAAAGACCAAAAATAAATTGTGACGAGAACAGAAATGAAATACTAATTTGTCACACTGACATACTCTTTGTGTAGAATTTTGCAAACACAAAATAAATCCAACAGATTGATGAACTATTATCCCCACAACTACGCGACTCAAGCAAGATGTTGCAGAAGGCGACAGGCTTAAGGATTCTTTTCACTTATCAAATTTAATCCCAGTCAAACCACAACCATTTGTACCAGACAGTTCTTATGTGGAATTTACTAATGTAACAAAACCATTAAATTATTTGCAACACCATTAAAAATGTCTATCAAAATAGTATCTGGCAGAATGATGTACACTGGAGCTGTTGGAGGTTTTTCTATAAAGCCAGTTTCCGAAAAGTTAACACACTTTGAAAGTAGTAGCCAAAATAAATGCATATATGAAAAAGATTAAGAGATAAGTTAAAAGGTACATTATGTATATCTGCATTTGTAGCGTATGTATTAAAAATATAACACTTTCTTTTATTTTGCTCTAAGCATGAGCCGAACGAAACTGTAATTTTCACTAGAGAACCTTTATGATGTCTGATTTCTCAATTATTTAACATGATATTACATTCTGGAAGGAATAAACTACACATTCACTTGGAAGAAGAATAAATGCATACTACATCCTAAAAAACAGGCAGATTTAATGCGTTATAGTGAAATTTGAACTATGTGCTTCATAAATGTATAGTGAAATACTCTACGTGCTTACCTGTCTCGATCTGGGTCTTCCAGGAGAAAACTTGCGTTTGGTGATGGCTGGTTTTCCCATGCCAATTTTTGGAGTGACTGATATGTAAGTCGTTGGGAGAGCGCTTCCAGCAGTGGAAGGCAATGCTGGGGGCTGACTGTGCTGTACATCTCGTGCAGAATGCAAGTCTAAAGAAACATCTGGTGAGGAAGACACATTTGTCTTGTTTATATTAACTGATGAGGGAAGTGAGGGGTAAGTCTCAGCTGGTGATTTCATGGGTTTGTCTCCAACTGGTGAACTACTTGCAACACCTTCATTTGCAGAAGTAGTTTCTACTTCTAGAAGAGCTGGTGTTTCTGACTTTTCATGGGTTTCTCCTTTTTCTACATCGTTCTGCGCTTTTATTATTTCCAGTTGTTGTTCTACAGGGATACAAATATCTCCTTTACTTTCAGTCTCCTGTATTTCTGGTGTCACAGTTACAGCCTCAGGTACTGAAGACAGAGACTGAGAGTCTACTGTGGATACTTCTGACACCTCCTCACTACCTTGTGGTAGCTGTGTCTCTTCCACTTGTTTGTCTAACTCCTGCTGTATTACAGCTTGAACACCTTCCGTCACTTCCATCATTTTCTCAGTCTGACTGTCACCAGATGCTGGTGTCTTTTTAGGAGACATTTCCATTTCAGCTGAATTAATTTCAACAGAGACTTCTGTTTCCAGTTCTGTGGTCTTCTCTTCTGGTGATATGCCTGTAACTAAGTACAACCATATTAAAGGCTCAGTGCGAAAAAGAAAAACTCACACAGGTGTACCAGTCAACAAGTATACTTGGTACACATCAAGTACACCAAGTACATATCACTTTACTGAAGCGAATTTAATACGTAGCTTAAAATATACTTCATAAATATCTTTCTTTGTACCTATGTTTATAGTAGTTTATGGGTTTAGCTCATTATTTTTCTTCTCTGGAAACACAGCAGAGTAATCACAAGAAAGTAGACCCAAGATTATTTTTTTAGGAATCTGGACACAGATTGCCAGGTAGTCAGCTAAAAGTAGCTTCTCCTTTTTCATTTCTGCGTATTGAAGTTGTACGCTAGCATGTATTTCAAGCAACTGTCCCAACACTTCCAAAAAGCAGCCAGCTAAGAAGAACAGGACAAGTACAGATGAAAAACATTTCCCTCCTAGCACTTTTTTAAGATTTTGGGAAATCACCTGAAATGAAAACAGTCAATGCTGGTTTTTAATTTACTGGTGTTTCATGAATTTCTTTCAAAAATATTTATCTAGCCTTTCCTTGAACCAACTCAAGCACCCTTCATCCACAACTTTTTCATCAAGGGGTTCCAGAGTCTTGTGTCCATTCTATACAGAACCCCATTCTTTGCTCCAAATGCGGCTTCTCATACCTCCTTTGGATGGACTCTGATTCTCTTACAGGCCACTTATCTTCTGTTACATTTGCACTCTTCCTAAATTCACACTCCTACAACCTCCTCAGCCACTACAGTTCAAAGCTTAGCATTTTATTACGCATGTGTCTTCACTGATAGTTTTAAATCATGGCTGTTGTATGTGATGCGTAACAGAGTGATCACAACTAACCTGCAAAATACTTTTTTTGCTTTGACTTTAAATGCAGGTTTCCTGGTTCCCCTTACAGCAACCATCCTCCAACATCAGCTGGGAGTGGATGGGACATACTGGAAAGTTCTTTGCCATTGATATCAGTCACTAACACATTTAGAGGACTTGAGCCAGAAACCATTCTATATGTATTCTTCTCTTTCGCTGAAACTTCACGTGTGATTGGTAAGATATTTATTCCCAGAACACAAATGATCAGCTACTGCAGCACACCCTGTCTGGATGAGTTCATTTGTTTATTAAACAAATTACCTTTTATTTGCAAAGGGAAAAAAGAAAAGAAGATACTTGTGGAGTTACAACCACAAAGCACATAAACTGGAAAGTAGTTCTACAGCGTGCCCCAAAACACACCAGGGAAAATTAATCCAATCCAGTTATTTGCAGATACAAACAAAAAAGACTTAAAGAGAAAGTGTGAGTGACTGTATTTGAATAGCAACAAATAGTGTTTTTTACTATAAACCTCCAGTGTACAAAAGCATTTAATTATATTGCCAGCTTTTGAAGAAAGCCAGTCCCACCAGAAAAGTAAACCAGCTTTCCCCTACACAAATATTCTGAAGGCTTTCAATAAAGTATTTCTTCAGCAAAAAATCAATACTCTTGCTTGAGAGTTCAGACAGTAGAACTGATGCAATTTGACTTCTACTGCTTTCCAGGCACCTTTTCCTCTTAAATTTATGAAGTCCCACAAACCTTACTGAACGGGAGAGCGTTCTGAAAGGTTCTGTACTGGCATATTCTCAGACTGCAAAACTCTTTCTTACCATCTGTGACACACCCAACAGCTGATTCTTGATCAGGGCCATCACCAGGAATGGGTTGTTCCTGAAATGTCGCATCCTCTCCACCACTTTCCATTTCAATTTCATTTGTACAAGCTTAAGGAAAGGCAAAGAAGTTATCAGAATTGATATCTGATGTTTACTCTATTACTTTGGCATCATCAGTTGCTGTCACTGTTTGACTTTTTGGCTGAAGAGAATGATATTTAACGAGACGATAGCAGCTAGGACAAATAAGGTAAATGAGAAGGTTACTTGTTGAAGAGTAAGAGCCTTTTTCTCATTAACAAGGAAGCTGTTGTACACCTTTCAGACAGTGAAAAATGTCTGTAAAGCAATTATATGCTCCTAATTGTGAAAATTTAATTTACACAGTCACAGACTTTTGTAATATCTGAGCAATACAAAGTCTTTTCTCAAATTTGAATCTGCTCAATTCAACCGAGCTTGTAGCATGAATGCTTCAAATTTTTATACAAATACTACGATGGCTTATGGCATAGATATGAGGTTCCATCTACTATCAACACTTGGAACACTGATTTTCAACCTACCTGTTCAACAACATGAAAACTAAATTTTGCCACTTTAAAACCAGGATACCTTGATCTGTGAATTCTTCATATTCAGTAAAGGATTTGCATGGAAAAGGAACTATTGAGTGCTTCTTTGTCTGACAGTATCATTATAGAGCACAGAAACAGGAAATACTGTTTTTTTCCCCTCATATAAAAGTTTTTTCAGTTAAGGAAATTCATTAAAATGCACTAGACAAAGTAGGAGGAGGAAAAATGAAGTATATAGTAAGCGTTAACTCAAAAGAAACTGATCCTCCACGGATGTTACCAAAAAAAAAGTCAAACGAATACAGCTTTCTGTTCAAGAAAGTCTCTTTCAAGTTCAAAAACCCAGGAACTGTTAGGTGATGCTACTTTTAGCACCTAAAAACTGCTCTCAGACTCTGCCAACTTTAAAGTGATATTTTAACTTTGAGGAAACGATCATTTAGATTGGCTCCAAACCTGATTTTAATGTACAAAAGTGCTCTCCTGGGTATAAAACACTGCATGACTGTACTGATGTAATAGCTCCAGATTACTCCTAGTAGTTGATATGACAGTCCTGCTCTTCCTTGGGGAGAAGAGCATGCTTGTCAATGCTTCTACTAGCTAGAAATCCTAACACAAGTTATTACTTTAAACTTTAGCCTTTCAAATAAAACCGTTACTTACTCAAAAGGCTTTTCAGTAGAAAACTGGGAGGTTTTCCAGTGTAAGTTTTGGGTATTACTTGAACATCTTCCTAAATGTTCCCAATACACTGCCTGAGAATCCAACAGCCTCTACTAACCTTTCAGAATGGAAGTGATCTTCAAAGGCTGAAGTCGCCACTTTTTCTAACTCGGTGCATGTGTTCACTGACAGATGACTTCTGCTCATTTACATACATTTACCTACTGTCACTGCCCTTCCTCCAGGATCATCTTTTTCATCATTCCTTTACTGCTCATGGAAGGTATGCACTTATGTGTACAGGTTAACATCAAAGAGAATGACTTGTTTACACAAAACATTAGTTTTAACACACAAAAATGAAGAGTTTTGTTGTAGTCCAATAATTTCCCTTTCCAGTCAAGTAGTATCAGGCTTTTGGAAACACAGATACATATGCAGTTGAGCTATATGTTTCTTTTAACAAAAGATCAATGCACAAGCATTGCTGTTTAAGCATCAAAAATGCACATGGCAGTGGGAGTGCAGTTAATCTGTTTGATTTTACCTTGCTTCCAAATTTAACCACAACTGTACTTTTCTTATGAAATTCAGCCTGCCTGTGCTTTCCAACAGAGCACGTGGTGTGAAATACACAAAGGCTCTCAGTTATGAGTTCATTACACAGGTCTTGTGGATGACCCACCACACTCAGATAAACAGATCCAACTTCTCTCCGTTCTCACTGAGTAATTTAAAAAAAAAAAATACTTTACACCTCTCTCCAACGTCTCTTTCCACCTTCTGCTTGATTTGTCCATTTAGACAAGAATCTCTCAGAAATAAGATGACTAAGCATATATTGTTTTGAAAAAGGACACCTGATTGAAAGCTGTTTAGTTAAATATACCCGTCCCTTGAACATAGCCCAGCTTCCACTGCTGTGTGCTACCTGGACATAGTGAGGAGAATGAGCACTACGAGAATGACAGGAAGCAAGAGGGAAACAGGAAAACTGGAGGTCTCCAGGAACATCTACCAGAAGCTGCTTTGTGCTTGGTAGTTAGGCACAAATGAATAAACAGCCAGGCTGGCAAATGGATACATTTATGAGCATCCCTCCATAATTAGAGAAGTTTACAGCTACAAGCTGGGAAGCTGGAGTTGGATGGTTGAGAGCCACCATTAAGGTGCTTACTTGCCCTTGTTTTTAATACAGGATCCTGAAGCCAGAAAGCATATTGAGAAGATGCCACACCCGTGGATTGTTTGAGAAGCTGCTGCTAAATAAATGAATGGATGAACTCCACAGAGTACAATATGAGCGGCTGGTTCACAAAAGACTTTGTGAGACAGCTGCACGTATTCATATTTGATATTAGCATTCTGGAAATACAAATATTACGTTCGATTACCTGTTATACTGTCAGGCTCAGGAATGAGTTCAGAAGTGTCCATTACATCACATGACTGAGTCTGATCCCCTTCTCCTTGTTTACAAAGAGTGCAGATGTAGTCTTTGAACTGAGACTCCAATTCACTACCTGGAGATCTGTCACATTCTATGTGAATCCACCTGGGGAAATTAATTAAGTGTGACTACGATTTTAATAGTAAAAATATAAAGTATCCTAGTAAAAACCAATTAGAAAACAGTACTGTTTTCCATTCCTATGGGGAAATTAAAAATTTCAACCAATGTTTTACTATGGTAAATTTTAGAGAAATAAACATGATATGTCAGTATGTCAAGCAGTGAACAAATGTAAACATGAAGATCTAAACTGTCACTAAAGCCAATTGGACACCACAACATGTGCAGCAATATCAAGATGTTGCACAGCAAGATACAATAGCACTGAATATGAAACACAGTCTACATTCTTAAAAGATTCCCATTACAGCCTTTTTTATTACTAGCATAGCAAAACACATAAAATTAAACAGAGAACACATACTATAAAATTGAAAAAACCAGACCATTGCAAACAACAGCCTTTAAAAATTAGGATGATGACTCTTCTAGTCTGCTTACTCACAAAATAGACGCAATGTAAGAAGCAGCAGCACATACTTCTCTGTGCACCTCAGACAACTGCCAATTTATACGTATTTGCTAAGATTAAAATAAGACTACCTACTATTGTTCATTGTACTTAAGGATGAAGGATTGAGATGTTGCACAAGATACTACAGCACTGTACATCAAACACAGTCTACACCCTTCACAGAAACACATCAATGTCATACAGCTCACCCTAAACTTTAGGCATTATAGTACAAATTAACAAAAAACAGGATTCTTACCTTTTGCACATGTGACAATGCAACATATCTTTCTGGAAGTCTTGGAGGCACAGTTTTTCACAGAAAGGACAAGATAAGTTGTCTTGCTGTTGGTAACAACTGTCACATACCAAACAATTATGGTGCCACTGACAACTTGTTCGTGTGCCACACTCAGCACATACTCTACAGTTCTAGAGATCACAAGAATTTAGTTGTTAGTTATCATATTTCCAATGTGGTAGAACTGCTATTAACTGACATTTTCCTGATTTCAATTAAATTACGTTTCTGTCCTTGGTAACACTAATAAATTATCCAGGATCTGATAATAGAGCATGAAGATCCTGTCCAACAGCAAGGAGAGTTTCCTTGCACTAAGACCTGACTTGAAAGGAGTATTTCTTATAAGACTAAACTTTATTCCTAACCTCAGTCGTCTTACGACTGCCACAAACTGACTATACAGTGACTTCCCTTGTTAAGCTGAAATCATATTTTTATTGTTACTTACACTTACTCACAAAGTTACTGATAAAACAACAAATTCATCCTGCCCTCCTCAATTGCAAAGGAACCCTTAAAATGCAGAACTGCCACTCTGATAAGCAAGAAGTAGCCGAATATAAAGTCTTCAAGTAGAGATTACATATACTACTACACAGATTTTAGTTTACATTAGATCACGAAAGTAGCTGTCATTAAGTGACCCCCTATGGAGTCTGCTTTACTGTCCTACATAGGCTGCTTCAGCCACTGCACTGACAGCCACCCTCAGAGCAGCTCGAGAGCCACATCATTACATACAAGTGGGATTCCTCCAGAAATTACAAGTTATGCTACACAGCAACAGCAGTCAGCAATATTCCTAGAACAGCATAATGTGGATAACAAAATTTGGGCCCCTATAATGATAAGGAATTATTCTGAAACCTTTCAACTTACTTTACATTTCCAACCATTTGTTGGTACAGCATCCATAACTGGTTGTAGACAGAAAGTATGGTAGCCTTTGTCGCATGTATCACACACCAGCATCTTGTTGTCTTCCCCAGAATGTCTAAGAAAAGTAACAAGTGGTTACAAAAATTACTTAAGCAAGCCTTATTTAATGAAAATTCTAAACAGGAAGATATATAGCTAAGCACATGAAAATATATGAATACCACTTACAAATAACTCCAAAGATAACGCCCTCAAATTCATATATAAGTATGACTGAAGACCACTATGGTTACTTTAATGAGTGCTGAGCCTGTGCAACCATTCCAACTTCTAGAAATCGGTCCACTTTCATTTACACAGGTGCAGGCACATTTAATGGCCCTTCTGTACTGAAATCAGTTCAAAATCTGAAATATGTACTTTATTCCTTTCTGAAGAGATCACGCAATTGTACTTGTTCCTACCAACAATCTGATTGTATTATTTCCAAAGAAAAAAATGAGCCATCACCTCTGACTACTACAGCTCCTACAATGTCAACCAATATGACTGCATGAGCACAACAAACATTAAAGGAAGAGATTTCAATCTTCCTACAATCGTGTATTACAGAGGTCCACCACAAACTTCAGAGATAAAATAAATTTGCAAAGAAAAAGACAAATAGTTTGGTAATATCTAAAGGCATTGTGTTCTGCGTTAGTTTAAATAAATTAATTCAATAAATAAGCATGCAACAAGATTTGCCTTGATAAAGCTTCACAAGATATGGCATTACACATACTAGATAGTACTACATTAGCTGGGAGACCTGATATTTTAAAAAATAGTAAGTGTTCTCTCTTTGCATGCTTAAACTGCTATTCTTCAACACTGGCATAAAACTGCCATACTGCACAAAGTAATAGGTGTGAAAACATCACATTTTCTTCTACTTTTCCTCTAGAGAGAAGGTTTGTTAGCAAATACTGTAATTACCCAGTACGACATTCTTAGGGATACTTTTTAGAATGTGCTTCAGTATTATAACTTCATTGCTGGCATTTGCTATCAGCTGTGTGTGATCAAGGAACAATCTTCTTTGAAGTGGGTGAATCTGAATGCTAGCAAATACCGAGTGCCCTGCTTGGAAAACAGCAAAGCACCAACTAATCAGGTACATGAGGCAGTAGTGAAGTGGCTTTTTTCCTTCATCCCAGCTGATCTGACTAAAGCTGAACAAAACTCTTATTTCCTTTCTAGTAAGCCCTTTAAAAAAATAAACAAGCAAGCAAAAGAACCCTGCAGTGCCTATCAGATTAAGTTATATGAGAACAAACGTAGAAGCAGTCAGAGTTTTCTAAGTGAACCCTTATAATATCGCAATAATTATGTTTCGTTGTCTCGGTATTTGTCTGGTGTAACAATTCAATCATGGTCACTCATGTCACTTTTTTCTTTGCTCAACTAAGCCATGTTTTTGTTTTCATAATGATTCATTAACTGCCTCTGAAAGATATTACAAAATAGAAAAGAGGGCCTAATGCAGGGGACCTACCCAGTGTGTGGTACGTGCACAGCTGAGATGTCAGCTGAGTAAGAGCACAGGTTCCCAGACTGTAAAGGCACTACATTGAACTAATTTGTTAATTTTGTAAATTTGAGAAAAACCCTCCTGTGTAAAAGGAGGAAAAAGTCAGAAGGTTTTGCTGCTTTTCAGAATCTGCCAAGATAATGGTAACTCCGGCAGTAAAACATAGAGGAGTTTCGGCTCAGCTCTTTTAGAACAAAGTTCCCAACACAACGGTTTGATCAGCAACTTAATATAATATCATAACAGCTACATCTGGGCATATAATCTACACTTTTTGGAAAAAAAAGAACAGCTAATAAAATACATGTTTTAAAATCTCAACACACAAATCTCAAGACTGTCCTCCTTCACGTCTGTTAAGTCTCACTTACTTGCAGTTCTGGCACACTTTGCAATCAGGACACTGCCAACCTGCTCGTTTTAAAGGTGTAACTTGTATGTCCAGGCACATCCCATGGTAGTGCTGGCCACAGGTAGTACAAAAAAGTTGATCTAAGAGGTCTCCAGGGCTGTCGCACACTGCACAATTTGCTTCTTCCTTTGCTATAAAGAAATAATTTTTTTCTATTATTATTTCGTTCAAAATTATGAACAACTCCATGAGCCCAACGAAGCCAAGAAATTCTTTAGTAGTTCTTACACATGCAAAACTTGATTGTTCTTATGAAATTCAAATTTAATTAATATACTTCTTATATTATACTCATTTTATTTCGTTTTCTGATATACTCAACTAATCTCGTAACAAAAGTACATTCACTTTAAACCTTAATAAAGTCTTACCAGAAGAAACAGTTTTATTCTCCTCAAGTTAAAACTGACAGCTTTGGGACCAACCTCTTCTCTGGAACAAGTACAAAATTAAGCTCCTAGCAGACCCAAACCTATTATTTAGCAGAAGTGTTTGCAATATGGTTGCTCTAACTTGAGTAAGTAAGCAAGCCTATCAATTTGAACTAAAACCTGACAGAAGGCAAGCCTTATGAGTAAATCCTTCCCATGTTCTGTCATTAAGAAAAAAGAAAAATACTTTGCTGTGCACCACTGCCAGTCTTTAAAAACAGAGGAGTATGAACTTGCACCTTTGTCACACCTGAACAGACGTGAATTCTTGGGTACACAAACTGGGAAAACAGGTCTAAACAACTGCACTCTTAAGCTGATCCTACCATAGAGCCGTTTTCATAAAACCTGGTACTAATCATGCCATTTGAATAGCGTGTACTTACATCTTTCAGGAGCCTGATCAATGTGGTCTGGACAAAGGAGGGACAAGTTACTGAAATCCTGAAATGTGCCTGCTCCAGCAGCACAGGGGTAATGGTACATCTGGGTACATTTCTCTTCACAGCATTTGATAGTGGCTCCAAGGTGCTTACAATATGCACATCGCTGAAAAACAAACATAACAAATTCTTCAAAAACTATTTTTTCCTATTTTTTCATCAGGATCTGTTCCCCTCATTTAACAGACAAACACATTGGCCACTAGAAGGGATTGAATACGGAGGAGAAGGAAATTAGCGTACTGTGTCTCTCAGTGGCACTCCCAGATCTTTCCAACTTAAAATGTTTTTAACGAAACCCACACGAAATGCACTCTGATGACCGAGATCCTTCTTGTCACAGAAAAGCATTTTTCTTCTATATGTTATCTAACTTGAGCTATGCCTTCAGTAAAGAGGCTTGGAGACTTATTGCAAGTAATAAAGGCAGACCACACTACGCTGTCAATAGCTTATAACTAAAAACCACATAGCTCTGTAAGTTGTAATGTAAAACTGTAGACACTGTACTCAGAAATGCAAATGGAAATGAAATATCATGTTCTACCAAAAATCTTACTGGCATTATACAATTCTCTCTGGGATGACCACGCATTACATAACCTAGCACTTTCGTCTCATCTCTCCTTTCAAGGCTACGCAAATATCACCACCAAACTTCGAGAACTCATAAATAAGCATGATTATTATTAGACACCATAGTCACATTTGTAAAGAAATAATTTCTCAAAAAGAACTACCCAATAACCATCCTGTTCTGTGGTCAGGAGGGAACAGATTCCATCAGCCTGCTTGTAAAATATCACCCACACCTTTCTCATTCAGTTAATCAGTCTTTTTTTCTTTCTTGGATTCATTACAGTCCCTGAAGCACTGCAACATGCTTTTGCAATTTTTCACCAAGGCAACAATACTTTTTAAGGCTAGAGCACAACACCATAAGATTTGGAGTAAACCTAAGAAAAAACAGGTCAGTGGCTCACAGGAAGGCATACGTAACACAGAGCAACAACTGAGCTCAATGACTCTTGGTCTTCATAATAAAAATATAATACTAACACTGGCATGTTTGATTACTAGCTCAAGTGTCAAGCAACATCCAAATATGAACATATACGAAATCAAAGAAAAGTTACACCCTGTATCTGCTTAATTCTTAGAATACAGACAATATTTATTACCATAATTCTTCTGTGTTTCAAAGCCTGGCATGAAATTAGGCATGAAATTAGGCATGAAATAGCGCTACTACAAGTCCACAGATATCAAAACCAGCCCATACGAAAACACAAATCACAAAGCTGCCTGTGTTAACAGCTACACTGACATTCTTAAAACAAAATGAAATTAATGTCTTCAGCAAAATATCTGCCTGCACCACAACTCCTGGACAAGGGAAAAAAAAAAATACTAGTTTGCGCTAAACACAACTGCAGTGTAAAAACATAGAACGCTTGAGCACAGAAATTTAAGTGGGTCACTAAGGATAGCTACTGCCATGTTTCTGTGCTACAATGCTTAATCTAGTCTTCAGACCTGCAAGATGTCTCATGTCTCACCTCTACCCATGTCTCTAACACCTACTAACAGTATGGAAAAGATGTATTGTGTTATTTTACTAGCCAAAATGCAGAGGAGAGGAGAGGGGACAACATGAGCAAACAGTAACATGGAGTTCCTGAAGCAGGTGAAGAAAGTAGCAATAGTAATTACGTCTAAGGACTGCCAACAAAGCCAAAGTAACGCAAAAACTCATTTTAGGAAACAATATATTCAGTGAACACTCGCTGAGGATGCTGTAAAAGGTAAATCCTGAAATCAGATGTGAAATCCTGAAAATGTAGCCCAAAGCCTCCCAACTTCATGAACTGCAGTTGCACAGTAAACAGAATACAACCCACTCCACTATTTTGTACTTGACACTCCTACATCCTATTGAGATGGGCCAGATTATAGCTAATGCCCAACTCTTGCAGACAGGCCAAACACGTTTCAAAGGTATTACTCGGTAAGAAACTGCAGTAATGGGAATTTGGGAGGAGCTAAGGTCCAAAACGTATCCCTCAAGAAAGTATTCAACAGAGACTTTGTTGGATCCCATAATTAACCCTTAACCAGGAAAGAAAATTATGAAGAACTGCAAGCACTCAAAGAATACAACATTTATTAAAAGCTGGGAATAATGGATTAAATAGCAATATAAATGGCATTTTTAAATATCACATCTGTTTTTCAAAACCACCAATCAACAATGGTACATAACAAATGTAAGATCAGAATATACCTTTTCCCAAATGCTTTGACTAAATGATGACATTATTCGAAAGGAGCTAACTACAGGATTACTGCAAAGCCTTGAAAAATGTTGATGTTGATTTAAGGAACCATGTAAAGATGCTGGAAGAAAAATGGAAGCCCAAATTACATTTAATTGAACCCTTCAAACCCATCTGCTAAACTGCACTGGCAATGAAAAGCATTTGGCAGCTAACTAAAACACACACTTTAAAAACAATGTGGTATATATCATCTGAAGCAAATAAAAAGCACAGAATATCAACATTTACTGAATTTATAAGAGAGAGAAAGCAGTCTGAAGAAACAAATGCCCAAAGGGATATTTTTGGCAACAGCTGTTGATGAGAAGAGTTACTTTTCCAGCAGTAGAAGCCAACGCTTCTCTGAAAGCAGGCCACTGCTGTGACCCCAGAAGAACAAGTATGCACCCATTACAACTAACTGACCTTCATGAAAATAGTAAGGATATGGACAGCAAAGTATATTAATTAAAAATTAAAAGCTCTACTAAATAAACTCGGTAACAGGTACTACTTTACTACTTCACTGCTAAAATACAGCATCAGGACAGTAAGAGGTGGAAGCGAGGAATAAATCCCATTGCCAGTGAAAGTGTCTTTACCACACTGAATGAGGACAGTAACACAGACAGTATGGAGTCTTCAATTTCATCAGCATGAGCAGAAAATAAGACGTTACATGAAGGGGGTGGAAGCTGAATCAGAGTATTCAAAGGGTAGGTATAGGAAAATGGTAAGCTGTCAAAGCAAGCCAAACACTGTTTTGTTTATGGATCGCGTAATTTTACAGTCCTGTTCTACAGAAAAAAAAAAAACAAAAAAACTTACAAGGTGTCAGAAAGCAAGAGAGACACTTCATTACTTATTCATAGTATATTCAATAAAACAGACGTCACTAAAGCAGAGTCGGCAGACTATGTTCCTACTCAAAAAGTCCTTCATTGGTTACCGAGTGTTTTCTTCAGCAAGCTCCTAGTGCACTTGTCCATAGCAAGAAAGCTCTGATCCCGTCCATAATTTTGCTACTTCTTACTATTGTAATGTCCATCATTTAAAACTGTACACACCTCCTTCTACTTGGTCTTTCACACCTTTATTTTACATCTGATTTTTTTTTTCATACAGACAGAAAAGGATCTCATTTTTAAAAGCAAATAGCTATGCAGTCTCTCAAATTTCATTTTAAAATTCCCTTTATTCACTAATCCCGTTGGATCAAATATGATACTGTTATACAAATACAGTGAAAGAGGAAGAACTAAGTGAATTAACAGAAAACATAAGAAAATCTGATCAATCACCTCCTCTCCTTTCTAGTTGTACGGGAGGGAGTACATTCTCCATGAAATAAAGTAACAGAAACCACACAGAAAATTTTTGGGAAGACAAAAACTCGTACCGCCATGCTAGAATCATAACTGCACCAAAATCAACTGAACAAAAAGGTTAGTTCTGCCTGTGGCTTGGAAGCTCAGCTGAATATCACAAATGCTACTGGCCTTAATGGAAACTGATGGCCAAACTGTAAAATGATGACAAGAGAAATAGCTTACTGTTTACACCTTCTAACCTTCCTACATCATCAAAAAAAAATAAAAAAAATGACAAAAGATAGATTCCAACTTTACATCAACCTTCCTGCTGCTCCACACTTTGAAGTACTCCAAAACTCAGCGCAAGTTAAAATGAAGAAAAGATGCCTGTGTTTATGACAACATAAGATTCTGTCTAAGCAGTACTAAGTACAAATCAGAAGTCCTATTTTATCATGATTTTACTGCCCTTAGAATTACTTTATAGTATTACTGTCTCACCAACTGGACAAGTAACAACCCTTAGGAGGCAGACATTAAAAAAGGCTACAATACGGACTTTGAATAAATACTTAGTTGCAATGTGATTAGTGCATTAAAGTTAAATGTTAGTATTAGGTATTGCAAAATGTTTTTCAAGCAAAATGAAAAATGACACTGATATGAACTTATTTAGCTTTAAAAAGGTCAGCCGACAAAACCCATGATAACAATAAGCAAATTTAATTTTACGATAGTGTATCCAAAAATGCACACAAGCCATCTGTCCTTAGTTAAACAATTTAATGTATTACCTGTAAGAACATATTTCAGACTGTTTAGCCACTGAAAACTGCTATCATACAAACCTGTAACTAAGGAGAACTGGACCTTAATATCCTGTCATTAACGAGTCCGCAAAGAAATTTTAGTATAAACGGTGATTAATGATGAAGTATGTTCCCTGGTAGTTCTGATAATCTTCTTTGATTACCCCATCATCTAGAAAAAGCTTTATATTGCTTATAAACCCTAATCACCATCAGCACCTCTAATGTCAAATACACTCTTTTAAGTACTATACAGCATTTTAGAGCACAATGCAGTAAGATGGCAACATAAAAAGAATTAATGGCTTTCCATTCAACTACTGATTAGAAAAGGTACTAAATAACACACATTTCCAGGAGTAGTGGAAATTACCTTCTAATTTTTTAATTTTTTATTAATCATGTCATAAATTCAGAAATTACTGAAATTTATAACAAGTGATTCAGAGGTTAGTTATTTTTGTTCCTCAATCCTTAACACATACCAAAATTGAAGAAATTCAAATTCAGATTTCTCTAACTGTACTTTAAAATTAAAATGTTCTTAACAGAGACAGCATGTATTAAAACTTCACTGTGGTGTCCACTTCACGCTCTGAGTAGTCTGAGGTTTAAAAATAAATAAATCCCAACTGTAGAAACAAACTATCGAGTTTTGTTTCTAAA